AAAGTTACTTGTCCCATAAGCTATCAACATGTGGTTACTTGTTGGCCAAGTTCCAACCTACAAACACATCTAAAGTCAAAACCATGTCTATGAAGCTTCTAGGAAGCTTCTCTAGAAGACTTTATGAAATTAATCTATATTTACTTACTTCTATTTAATCATATAAGTAAATATTGAGGTAAATATATGTATCTGTCATAATTATATTTGTTGTTAATATCTTATTAATTATTATTATCATTTCTATCTTTAATTCATAACAATTGCTTTATATGTATGGTTTAGATTTTGTTTTACAAGTATTTTTTTATTTAAGTTTTTTATATTTATTTAATATAAAATTTGATTTAACAATATTCTAATCCCAAATTTCAATTCCCTTGCTTTTTAATTGTATCAAACATACACAAATCTTGATACACACATCATTACCTCAAAAGAAAAAAAGAAAAAAGAAATGCTTTCTACCAAAAAAAATATAACATACATTCTTATATTTTACACACAAATAAAAAAAAATTGAGATTTTATTCTTATGATTATTATTATTATTATTATTATTATTACTATTGCTTCAATTGATTAACTTCTAATTTTTTATAATACTATTAATATCCCATACAATGGTACCTTAGAGCTCTTGAAATTGATGCTTTTTTAAAAATTCCTTCATATTACAAATTCTAAACTAATTTTATTAAGTTAATGATTAAATTATTTCTTTTTAAATTGTTTGTTCAACTTTCTATATACATTGCTATACTAACAATTAATATTCTTTATACAACCAATTCATATTACATCCAAAATCTTTAAACAATATCTTTGATTTTTTTTTAAAACGCTACCATTTATCATCTTAGACTAAATACTTCTTCTCTAGTTTTTTACAAAACAAACCTATTTACATTACAATAGAATAAAAAAAACTTAAATATTATAATAATAATTGAAATGTCTATATTTTTCAAATTAAAGCTATTAACATATATTCTTTACTTAGACTTGTGTTTTTTTGATGTGCCATTAGAAACAAATTCAATTACACAAAACCATGAAAAATTTGAATCTATTTTTATGTGTATTACTTTCAATTTGGATTATTATAAGTTTACATTTTATCTATCATAACTTAGTAGAAATTCATAGAGTATATAACAGTTACAGTAATATCAAAGTCATACAAAATTTAGGTTGTAACTAGAAGTTTAGAATATCACCATATAGAAGACTTTTGTTCCAACAACTTACTAAGAGGTTGTTCAAGATGCACTTGTATTAACTACTCATAAGATTATATTGTTCATAAAGTGATTTTAATAACATACATGCATGAAAATATTATAGAAGATATACATGTCACAACCATTAAAATGTGAAATATAAAAGACCATCTTTCGAATGTGCAAATCAAAGCAATTTTTGTACAACCTTTGTCAAAGTCTAAGAGCTCAATTCACCCACATACATTCGAATCATGTATCTATGATATAGCAAGATCTATGATATAGCAAGATGTAGTTTTTGTCATTGTATTGATTTGTAGGCAGGCTTTAAAGCAACTATTTCAGTTTTATAAAAATCAAAACTAATGTGCAACCAACTCAGAAGTACTGCACAATGATTTTACAACATTTTAACAATTAAATGCTTTACAGCGTGAAGGCAAAATTGTACAGAATTGACATGAGTGTTGATTCGCATTGGAAATGATAAAATATTACGTTTTCCACAATGACACCAGTCCCAATAACATCTTTATTTCTGACCTATCACATAGAAGTAAATCAAGATACATAATGACTTATGCACTTGGAGTACAAAAAAAGAATGTAAGTGGATGCTTTCATATAATAGATGAACAGGTGATAGGATTTAAATCAATTACTGGGCGTTTGAGTGGGATACCAAAAACAGGCTCTTGAGATTAAGTTGTCAATGGGAGTACAAAGCTATGAAACGGCAGTAGACTATCTGTTTCGATTCGTGAACAAAAAAATTAAAAAATATATTTACGTTTCTAAATTACACATGTCTTGTCAAAAACCAAATTTGATCTGGATTGCCAGATTAAGTAACAATTGACCTGCCGCCTTGTTTTACTTACCAAGCCACCGAATTGATGGAGGCTTGTAAGATAAAAGTTAAAGAGAACACAATGGACGGCTCTTAGGATGCACAGTCAAAGGTCTCGGGGCAGAAGTGAATTGAGGACGTCAGGAATTCTATCCGTTTCCCAGGTTCGGCAGCTGGGTTACACAATGTGACGAGGGATGAGAGGATGAACTCACCTCACAAATACAAACTCGCGGTCCAACCCCAAGGACTTGTAGGGAACAGGTTGAACAATCCTTGTTCCTTCCAGCGTGGGCAGCTCATCCACATATGGAATTTTCTCATGCCAGATAAACTCGTTCTCATGTTCGCATTTTCGAAGCATATTTTGAAGTTCATCCAACTCCCGTTGAAATATGTGATTCCACGTATCGTCGGAAGTCGGTCCAGGAGCTACACAACTGGTCAGCTTAAATAGCAATGTGGGCAGAAACTTTCTGTAAGAACTCCATTCATGACCTGAAGTCACAAACATGTTACAATATCAATTCCATGTCATCTGCATTCAGAGAGTAGTGTTGCATAGAAATCGACTTAAAACAATAGAGTTGTCATGCCTATATCGCTATACTCAACCAATTTCGAAAAATGGGACAAGTTACCTGGTCGGAGAGGTAGCACTCTCTTCAGGGAATAACGCAGCACTCCAACCGCTACGCCGAATCGTTCGATCTTAGAATATTCAGCTGCAATATACCTCTGACTTCGTGATTCGTGGAGTACGCTACACATCCTGATAAATTTCTGCGAAATAGTCTGTCAGTTTATTACAGGACGCTGAACACGAAAACTATCTGCAAAATACCTAGTGATACAGGAGGAAACTTTCCCTCATACGTTCACATAGTGCGTAGAAAGACACATTCCAAGAATCTCCCCCCACGCAGGCACTTGTAACAATATCCTCTAAAAACTAGATGCTGTTTCCTGAAGTTGAGTGCACGATCTGACTGAAGTATATTCTTTCACAAACGTATGAAATTTGAGACCACCATTTGCAGAAATCGAATGCTAAAAGTTTCATAAAAAAAAAAAAAAAAATCCTGCTGGCATACTGGATCGCATTCTGCCCTTTCAATGATGAGGGATAAATCCAGAGGATATAATCAGACAGAATGAGGAGACAGCACTGACTTAGCTTACCATTAGCTTGCCGGTGAGGTCATTTAAGTCGCATTTGCTTTCTTCAAGCAGTGTCTTAGCTTCCTCCAGGAATTGCACCACCCCGTAGTGAAGCTTTGCTAGCAGACTCTCGCTGGAGGCCTTCTCCTCTGCTTTCATGGCTGTCACTGCCTAAAACGATTGTATGCAAATAGTGAGGAAAAATACACAACAATTACCCAATGAACGCAGATAACATGGAACTTGGATAACCAGACTTTTCAAGAGCTGACTTGCATGAGATTCCAAATTTTATGCAAAGACTTTAAAGAACATCAAGCACCCCATCTGCTCATGAGAAATCGTACTAATCAAATGTTAATGTCTGGGCTATAGATTGTTGGAGTACTAGTCTTGACGATAGAAAAGTACCTGTGCTTCAGCCAGGCAGATAATGCTCATGATGGACGCCAGCGATGCTCTGACCTCGGGGCAGCTCTCTGGAGTCAGCGAGGCTTCCAATGGAGGCAATACATTCTTCGTCAAGTGCAAGTAGACTCCTGACGCTCTCCTGAACAGGGTAGCTGCCTCCGCCTTGTCTACAGAAAATTACAGCTAAGTAAGTGGACTTCTCGTGAACATATGAAAACAGCACAATATTCTCCTAAACCTGGTCGTAAGCAATAGTATATCTGCACAAGATCCAGGCTATACATCCCAATGATGATAAGGTGCCTCAGTGGACATCAGTCTTGGATATGAGAGGAGACTTTTGAAGTGATTTAAACTTAGTAAGAACAGCTTGATTAGAAAAAGAGAAGATTTCGAAGACTGTCAAAGCACGCTTACCTGTACGCAGCACCTCTAAAGCACGCTCTCTTAGCAGCGCCCCGTACAAATTAAGGGTCATTCCCAGTTCATAGCGCATATCATCCACTTGAAAATCCCGCTGCCCCTTCGCACCTCTACGACTTAATCTACTCAAGGGGCTCGTCCAACGAATTGCTAACCCAGACATCCACTGCACTACGTTGTAATCTGTCTTTTTCGTTTCCAGAAAATTAACCAGATTTTCAAGCAATGGAAGGTACCGCTCAATCTTCTGTAAGTCCTGACAGTCATCAATTTAATGCATATTAGTAGGTATTCACAAATCAGACTGAGGCAATTGAACTGACTATGACTTTCTCTGACATTATTCAACAAATTACAGGGTAGCAAAGAGGATAAAATAGCGTGAGAGTGAATACAAAGGATATGGCCGTCATAAATCACCTCTTACAGTTAGTTACTAAAGAGAAGAGTATGATAAGATGTTAATTCTAAGAGGTAAGACGTCACATCATCAGATAGACAATTTGCTTGCGTTGCTTATTTTAAGCGTCTGATTTGTGAAACTAATAGTTTCTGTTGCTGATAACTTGGGCTAAACACGTATTTGTACACACAACAACGATGAGATACTAGACATACCTGCAAAACTGGAGAAGTGATACCCCCTGCCATCTCCCTTGCAATGGCAGGAGTAATTCTGCAACTTCCATCGATGGAATTTTGAATGGCTTCCCGCCTGGTGCTGAGCTCCCTCAGCTGCTCCAAAGTGCCAGAATCTCGTGCATAGAAGGTTTCTTCGTACACAACCTGGCCCGATTCCCAATCAAGTATTCAGTGATGCTAAATCGATACATCCTGTAAGAAGATTTTCCGGGCAATACTGTCGGCGGGACGATGAGCATGATCCCGGGTGGACATTAATCAGCATCATCATAGTAACGTTGCCATTTTATTGTCTACTTGGCTTCACAGAAAATTTGCATGCATCACTTTAGGCAAGAGAGATACTGTCCGATTTTAAAGATCCAACTGATCGATAAGGTCTTTGAACAGAATCGCACGTAGAGGAAGAAGCTGAATGCTAATCAAACAAGCTTACCTTTTGTGTTCTCAGCTTGGCTGGGTCCCGGAAGTGGAGCAACATACTTAGGTCGTAAATATTCCCAAACTCTCGAGCTAGGAAATTTTGCACACCCACACGCTCAAATTCTAAGCCGGCAGCAGATGCTTCAGGCACATCGCATCGCTATTTCAATTGATGGAATAACATGTATGCCCAAATTTCTAGGTGAACCTTATGCTATCATCTCCACTTGTGGCTCCCGAATATTTGAGAATGCTGGCAGCCACCCTTTTATTAACTCAAAACCCGGGAGGAGGTGCACCTAAAGTACTCAGAGCTCCGGGATGCAATCTAAACACTACAGGGTTCTCTGCACCCTGACGTGCTTGACCTCGTTCCCCAAAATCCAGGCCCAATCTATGCGAGCTCGACTTCCTTCATCCCGCTAGAGTGCGCCTGGATGATTCTCTACTCCAATTGATCGTTGACGATTACACTGATTTAACACAAACCTGCAAAGGAACTACGTGATACTATCCCAGTAGCTGCATGCAACGTAATGCACTCTGAAAACCGACAAATATTCGGTCTCTGGTGATAGGTAACTAAGTCCGCATGTGGACCAAAGTGTGAAATGGGTCATGACTACTGTGCCTTGCACCTCCCATTCCAGCAATCCTTCTCAATGGCATCAAACGATTTGCCTCTCATCAATGTATTAATCTCCAATGTCCGCAAAGCAAACGATCCCCACAATGTTTATGGCCTAGTTACGGCTTCCCGATCATGTAAGAGTAGGAAGTCCCGAAGAACGTCTGAACAGATAGAATTCACCTAGGAGGTTCGAGCTGAGAAAACCTTCTAGCACCAGAACAATCACTCCATAATGTCTTCCACATTCGTCACCCTACGATCGCCACAACTCCAACTCAAACAGAGTGCACCTGCACATCCAATGCGCCAAACATTGTTTCAAGCCTCCTACAAACAGTAGTTCGTAAACATCCCACAAACCTCTCCACACAAAAAGGTTTGTCTCACAACGAACGTCGCATGATACCAGACTATCGAAACCCTCAACATTGCAGCTACATCAACTTACAAGCACTACACCATACACAAACCACTCGCGGAATCTAGCTAAAACCCCCCACTACTCTCAACCCCCAAATCAGGCATCAATGACATCAAAAACATGCAGAACAGAACGACGTCTCAAACGTCTCGAAAAGCTCAGAATCCTCCAACAACGAACCCCGCACTGAGCAGTCCCAGGCAACGAGACAAGCCCAAGGAAACGAAAACATCGAAACTACGCATCATCTCCTCGCATCACAACACACGCTACAGGGTGAGCTCGAGAACCTCTTGAGGTGAAAACAGGGTGACGTAGCGCTTGTGACCCATAAAAAAAACCAAACGCGGCAGAGATCATTGAGCTTTGACTTGGGTTTGAATCATTTTGAAAGCGGGGGAGATCCGGGGGCGATCTTTATGCCCTCATTCTATTTTAAGCGGATCCATTGGCTGCAAATGATGGAATCGGCGGGGAGGTAGCGGATTGCGACACGGGAGCACATCGAAGTGCCTTTCGTTTGTTTCACAGAATTGTGGGTGGTGATTGAAGGGGCGGTTGCAACGGGTACTGAAGGAGTCATCGGCACGCAGGGAGGGCCTTTCCGATGATTCAGAGACAATTTCTCGCGATCGATGTGTCTGCATGGAAATGATTCTCCATGTTTCCGTTGCAGCACTTCCTCCTCGCGGTGCGTGCATACCACCCCACGACGAGGCTTCCGAGGATTTTAAGAAGTGGGTAATTTCGCAAATGGTGGCAATGTAGCTGGAGTCGAACAACAGCTGCACTTTGTCGAGCCAATTCGAATGGGTGTGAGAAGTGCGACGCTAAGCTCCGTAGTAAGCAGGAATTAGGGTATTGCTTCTGCGCCACATATGCAAGATACTAACTCTTCCTTTTCTAAGCAAGTTGCTATTTGTTAGTATGATTTGTTCATATTCATCTCGTCTTGCTTGGACATGTTACAAAGAGAATGGTGAGGTTTTAATGAATAGTTTATGGTGTTGCTTCTGCTTTTGTTTTTTTCTTGTTAAATTTATACAAGTGGGATTCAAACTGTCAGTCTTGTGGTTGAGCGTCATTTTTTACCACGTTGTATTATATCATTTTGTACCATGTTTTTAGTTGTGAATAAAGTATTGTTGATATTCTATAAAATAAAATTCAATAAATGAATGAATAAATACATAAAGAGTAGAGGTGCTTACATGTCTGAAGGTGCAAGTTAAATTTTTTGTATTGTTATTAGTAAGGTTTTCATCAACTTTAACAATATGTGCAAATTTTCACAAACTATGATTTAGTTGCAAGTTGTTTTCGTAGTTGTTGTGTTGTGTGAACATCTGATACAAGGCAATTGCTATGGATAAGTGGATGGACTTTCTCCACTATACCTCTGTTTATGTAATCGATCCAAATCTTTGCAAGAATCAACAATAGACATCTTATTTTTAATGAAGAGATGTTAGATTTGTTCTATTTCATAACAACCTGTACTTTTTGAGGGGAGGTCTTTTATCCCCTTTAATAATCATTTATTTTATTACAATTTATAAACTTAGAAAGGTTGATTAAAATACCGTTGCACAACTTGTTATGTTTTCAAAAATACAGAATAACAAAATATAATAAAAATATAACAAGAAACAGTAACAATACTAGTGGTAGGGTCAGAGCGAACTTTAAATATATCTCTCTTTATTGAGAGTGAGGATTAAGTATTACTAAAATAATATTTATCACTAGCACCCTCAAATCACAAAAGATGGGATGTGTTGTAATGCAGTGATCCGCTTAGTTAATGATATGTGTAGTATTTATCGGTGCGCTTTGGAATAATTATACCCCTGTTTGTTTGTAGCCTTTATCACTATATTATAAACTATAGCACTTAATTCACATCAAATCAACATACGCTATAATTTTTCTTCAATGATTAAACCATCTCTTTGGAGAGTTTTACCATCCATTTCACTAATATCTCATTCGACGCTCTTGCATTCCTTTCAGTTACAATTCATTCATCCAGTGACATACGTTTTAAACAGGATGATTTTGTGTATTTTGATGTTTCAATAATACTGAGATCCATAATATTTTGACACTTATTTTTATTTATTTCATCGAATGCACATTAATTGCTCATTTTGTAATGAACCATTATACTGCATTTTATTTCATTGTTATTATTATTATTATTATCTGTAACATGTCTAAATATATATACATATGGGTTTTACTTTAAAAGGTGTGTGTTTGCAATCTATGCTTTTCTATCTTTATAAATACACATGGACAGTGTATAAAATCCTGTCATGAATAATTTAAGCTTTAAAGGAATCAGAACACTTTGCTAAGTCAAGTTTTACATTGTTTGATATTTTTTATCAGCTGTATTTTAAAAATCCTTTGAAATTTAAACACACACACATTTATATATATATATATATATATATATATATTTATATACTTTTTTTTTATGCAAGTGTTCTTTGATAACAACTATAGTTTACAACATACTAAGATCAAATTACAACAAAATGTTTCCATATATGTTATTTAAATTTACAAAGGCTGATTTTTGAGAGAAAATGATTGGAAATTATCACGATTCACGATTCTTGTAAACAACTAGATTTTTCTAATGTTGCCAAAATGATTAATATGACAAATAATTGTCGTGTGATTTGTTAAGGCAAAAAATAGAATCTGTTAAAAACATTGTAACATGATGTTATTTTCTTTTGTAAAGATAATTTTGGGTACACAAATTAAATAAAGAATTGTAAATAAAAAAATGATCACGTTTATATTAGAATGGGTTTGGTTTTGAAATAATAGAAACAGTGATTTCTATTCAAAAGTAATTGCATCTAATGCAATGAACTTTTGACTATATTTCAAGAATTTATAATAATTTTTAGTAAGTTTTTTATTTTTTTATTATTTTCATATATCCATTACAATATAAGGCCATTGTTCAACTTTAAAACCTTTTTATATATATGTTTTTCATTTATATGTATATATATATATATATATATATGGAGGATATTGTTAATGCCACCAAAAACATTTCTATTGCCACCACAACCCCCATTCACAACTTATTACCCTTGGTCAATACTATGTAGTAACATATCTTAAAAGCCCCTTTTTTCTTTTTCCTTTTATAAGAATCTAGTGTACATATTTAATAATAATAATAATAATAATAACAAAAGAATAATAACAAAAGAATACAAATTTTATGTTTCGCTTCAAACATTGTGATGTTTTCAGCAATAATCAGACTTTAATTATTTTCAATTAAAATATAATAGTATTTGATAATCATTGTATTTACTTTCAGTCACTGTATGTAGTTATTATATTATTCTGAATGTTATTAAGTTTTTTAGTTTTTAGTTCTTTTACTTAAAGAATATTTTTAGTACTTTTTTTACCTTATGTTACATTTGTATTAAAATGTTTTACAACAAAATCCCACATTCTGCATTATGTACTATTATAATTTAATAAAAATAAATAAAAAAGCATAATTGATAATATATGGTGGTTAAACAATCACTATAAAGATTTTTGCACATTCACAAAATTGTTTTTAGCTCACTTCCGACACAACATCTCTTATCTGTACATTATTAGTTTTTAGCACATGGTTGTCATTATACATCAAATCATTCTACAATACATAATTTCAATACAAACTAGAAGTTTACTGTATTTATAATAAGTTTAGCTAATTCAATTTTTAATCCATCTTTGGCTCCACAATACTTTATTTGATTTGATTTTTTTATTTTTTGCAAATATAACATTCAATATAGCCTAATTTTTTGTAATGCAATACACCAAGCTCGACACATGATGGTATTGCATATATCAACAAAATATTATTATTTTATGGTAATATTTAATTGGATAAGCATAGTAAGAATTGCATTTATGGCACACAAAAGACTTAGACTTTAGATACATTAAGACAAACAACTACCTATCTAATATCTACATACACAAAGACTTTTTTAGTCATATAATGTCATCATAACTTTTTTTTTATAGTTTTGATGATCTACTTCTATGCTATTTCAGGTATTTAATAAATTTGCATATTGAGATTATTAAATAAGAAGTAGAGTGTTTATATAGAACCATAATAATGTCAAGTTTTGTAATTGATAAGTCTCTAATTTATATTTTATATAACTAAATTTTATAATTTCAACAAATGATTGGTTTTGTCCTTATTTCAGATTGTTCATTGGAAAGAAACTTTGTTTTTCAATTAAATTCAATAGAATAACCATTAAAAAAATATAAAATATAAAATATATTTAAAATTTGATTGATGAGGGTAATCTTTAATTTCCTTTTTATAGATCTTATATTAAGAGATTTCAAATCTAAGATTAACATCTTCAATATTAATTTAAGGCCTTGACCATTACAACAAAGTTTCTATAAAATCATACATTATAATTTATAATAATAAAGTATCAAAAATAAATAAATAAAATAAATAAATAAATAACATAAAGAAAGATATCAAAAAGAAAAGAGAATATATATATATATATATATATATATTTCTTCTTTATATATATATATATATATATATTTCTTCTTTATATATATATATATATATATAAGAAGAAATTGAAACAACTACTACCAAAGATAAAAAAATAAAAAATAAAAACTAAAAAAACTAGAGATTCTTGAAACTAAAAGCAAAAAAAGCTCTAACAAGACTGAAAAAGGCTTCATTCTTGCCTCTATATATACTATCTAACTATGGAATTATATGATAATGTCCTATAAGCCACATGATACATGTCCAACTTGCAAGACACATGTCTAACTTTAAGACAAGTTTCCAATATGTGAGCTACATAACCAACTTGTAATACAAGTGGCTAACATGAGTGATATGTGACTAACTTGTTAGCCATGTTTTTAATATACTAATCACCTATAAATACTTATAAAACCAAATTTGCATCTATAAAGCTTTTGAGAAGCTTTTTAGTTAGATATTAACAAATAAAATTAATTTTAATTATTCTTATTTAATTATAATTATTCTAAATCTATAACTATAATAAATATCTCTATATTTATTAGTATAATCATTTAAAAAGATAATAATTATCTTTATATTTCTATTATATTAGTTTTAATTATGATATATATAATTATTTATATTAGTTTTAAATAAATGATTTTCTTCTCATTATATTAGTTTTATATAAATCTATAACTATGATATTAGATATCCATGATAGAAAGGTTTAAATAACCTAGCTAAATTTTTTTAACTTAAATGTTTTTTTTTTTTTTTTTTAATTAATAAGTAACATCCTATTCTTTTAAGAATAAAATATTATTAGTGCTTATATTTATAAATTTTAAAAAAATATATAATGAGAAGAAAGTTATTTTATTTCCAAGACAACATTCAAATACAACCACATTACAAATTGAACTAATAGTTGAGAATTATGTGCCCTTATTAGTCCCTTTTGTTTTAAGAATTAACTTTTTAGTTGATTTTTTTAATAGTTAAATTAATATTTTAAAATATAAATATGAGAATAATATTAAATCATTTATTAGAATTAACAGATTTTTTTCCTCTTTTTAATTCTTAGAAAGAGACAATTCTTTTCGTATCTTAGAAATTAAAATTAAAATAATAATAAATCTTGTTTCATATCACCTACCAATTGATCTATTAGATCAAATATCTACCTTATGTAGATCTTTTAGCTATAACTTGAAGTTATGTAAATAATCACTAAGAAGTTCAAACTAACAAAAATAAATTTTGAGCAAATAAAAAATCCCCTCTTGCAATGAAGTTTCAAATTACCACTAGATTTATTGGAAATTCTTGCACAAACTAAGTTTTCTTATAAAAAAAGATCTTAAACAAAGAAAGATTTATACAATTATCTATATATAATTCTAATAAATATGTATATTAATACATTTGAAAAATAACTCCAAGACTAACAAGAATTTATTTTAGAATCAAAATAATAATTAGATAAAAATTCAATATATCTAATCTAAAATTAAATAGATAATTAAAGATTTTTTTTGTAGTTTTCAAATTTAATAGACTAATGACCAAAATTCTGAAATCAAAATATAATAATAAATAAAAAAATTATTAAAAAGATAAAATTTAAATAAATTTTGAAAATAATATTTTTCTTTAAATACCATTCGAACTGATGTTTTATTTTTAAAATTTTTAATTTTTTTTGCAACTAGAGTATCATATACTTGAGAATATAATATATCAACATAAATCTTTTAGAAAAATACCACCATCTTTAGAAGAAATGCAAAAAAAATTTAAAATATTAATTAATAATAAGGATCTAAATCTAGATGGTATGTAAACCGAGTTCCTTAAGTATTTTTGGTTTATTATAAAAATCACATAAAATATAAAATTATCTCTAATTTCTAATTAAAAAAATCTAAAAAAAATCCAAAATCTTTTGTAGAAATTTGATTCATTTAAAGTTTTAATTTTGATTAAAAGAAATATTTATAAATTTTAAACCACTTATCTTTTTATATATCACTTAGTAAAAAAATTCTAAATTTTTGCAAAACATGATATAATTAATTCTAATAGACTAAGTTCAAATAATTTTTTTAGTATTCAAACACATCTTAAATAATGTAGTCCTTGTTTAAGAAGAACTTTATTGGTGGCAAGTTTAAAAGATATTTATATTACTTAAGTAAAAAAAATAAATAGTAGTAAGGTTTAATAGGAAAAAATTTGTTAGGTAGATAAAATATTCTCAAAGAAACTTTAAAAAAGTACTCTCGACACAAATTAGATGTTTAGACTCATATAGATATGCCACATGGATATTGAAACTTATTGTACAAGTCTTGTACTTATGTAAAATTATATTAGAAACAACTTCAACTTGATGCTTGGGCTACAAGACTTGATGTCTTACGAATGTCTCCACAAAATATTCTTGGTGGTTAGTATATATGAAGGCAAGACTTGGACCATCCTTATCAACATTATTTTTGTATTCTAATCTAAATTAGAGACTTTCTAACTTCTATGAAATTGGCAATAGTCATTTTAGTTTTTTTTAGTTTTTTTTTTTTAATCTTAATTTTGATTTTAATTTTAATTTTTTTTTTCTTTCAATGACATAAGAGTATGTTATCTTCTTAGGATTCTATCTTGATTCATGTCCTTGACAATAAGCTTTCAAACAAGACTTTTTGGTTTTAAAATTAGATTTAATTTAAACTTATAATTTTATGTTAAAAATTATGTATTTAAAGATGATAATTTATTATAATTTATTCTTAATTTATAAGAATAATAATAATAAATTTTTAATTAATAAATTTATTTTTATAAAAAGTTATGAAAAAATAATCAAGATAATATTTTCTTTTCTTAATGAGATTTTAAAATCTAACTTAAATTTAAAATTAAAAATAATAATTTAAAAATATTTTATGTTCCACTATATAAGATCAATTTTTTATTAAGTAATATGTTAAAATTTATAACATCTTTTAAAATAGAGTAGAACTCATCATATACCTTAATTCAAATATTATTTTATTTTTCCATTGTGTTTTAGCTTTTATTATAAATTAGCAAGAATCTAATATTATTTGGTGCTTTAAGACTACAAAAACTTCTAAGGTTGTTAAAAAAATTCGATAATAGAATATTCCTAGAAAGCTTTATAAGTTATTTAGAAGTCCATTTAAAATAAGTATAAATTCTTTAAGTATTTACAACTTCTTCATTCAGAGAATATATATATATATATATATATATAATACATATTTTCTCTGAATGCATATTTACATTTATAAGTATATACAACTTCTTCATTCAGAGAAAAAATATATATAATGCTCAATGCATCTAAATTTAATAAAAGATTTTTTTTGTTAAATTGAATATCATTATAGTATCTATTATTTATTTATTATGATCGGAAAATTTTCTTTAAATGTAATGTAAAACCTTTGTGAGAATTCTAAAGAGAAGAAAAAAATTAAATTAAATTAAATTAAAGCCAACATTCATGAAAAAAAATCATAACATACAACCAACCAATATGCTCAAAGCAGAAGATTTAATCTTATAGATCCAAAAATAGTTCTTCATATACAGTCTATTAAATAGATACTTAAAATAGCTAGATTAGACTACTCAAGCTTGCTTACATTACTTAACTTCAAAGTAAATTTAATACAATTAGGTGAAACACCAAGAAATAGACCTACACTATTTACTGGATGATTTACTAGTTCACATATATATCCTGCTTACTGTACTGTTTAACATTTTTCAAATCCATGCTAACCAATTTACTATCCTAGTACATGTTCATTCTGGTACTACATCAAGAGGCCACTATGCATGCGTTTTTCAATTTCATTTTATCAATGCTTTGCAATGGTGGAACCTAAATGAGCTTGTGAGAATGAATCACCTTTGTTGAAGAAAAGGCAATTGAATAACAGCACCCATGGGTCATTTATTTTTTGTGCTGAGGTGCAACTACTTGGAGAGTGTGGCTCTGTTTTTGGTGCTCCTGCCATCCTCTGAAGCAGTTGGTATTGCCATTGAGGCTCTACTACCTCCCCACAAGCAAAATCTGAGCACACTCACTATTACTAGAGATGGGTATCTTATGCAGGAGTTATGTGCATAAAGATGGTAAATAATTGTTGTTGCTCATGGATTTTTTGTGGTGACTGCAGATAGAGATTGGTAAATCAAAGTGGCTCACTTTGAACCTATGAAGCGTGCTCATGCAAGGCACACAGTGGATGACGTTTACTGCTCTCAAAAGTGATGGATAGAGAACCATGCGTGAATTGAGGATGACATGGCTTTACAGCAGTTATTTACTGACTAATTGGTTATGACAGCATAATGATAGCTGGCCACCTTCATCACAGGGAGTCCGATGTGTGGGTGTGGAAGATGCAACCGATTTCAACGTCGATCCACACCTCGTCACTGGCTGTCTCTGCAGTTACCAGCTTCAATGGACGATGTCTATATTTTCTCCACTTCCTGAAGAGCCGCAGGATCTGTAGGGCATCTTGAGATATGCCACTATGGCTATCGTCTTTTCAGGGTTTACTCTCGATTCCCCAACCACAAGTTCCCTTTCTCTAGGCCTATGGTCCTAATTTGGCTTCAGATCCCACTTTGCACCTCCAATGGCATTACTGAGCATGACATTTGGCTTTCTGTTACTCGCTTCCTCAACTGCACACTTCAAAATGCGCCGAACACACATCTGATTACGCTCCACACAGTTCTGACAAACAGTATCCGGGGGAAACACACTGTTTTGCTTACTGTACACACCCTAAGCATGGCTCAGAAAGGATAATCGCAATTTGGAAGAAGAATATGACTATTCATTGGTCGGGTCTGTGGAATCTCCACATTCATGCGTTGCAATACAACACATTTGTGACGATCGTACCGGTGAAGCTCTTCACTGCACTCTCACAAAGCTCCACTCCGGGAACCACTTAACCAAGTGATTGAAGATGTGCACACGAACTGATGAGTATGATTGGAGATTCTGGAGTAGATGAGGGATGAACAGAATGACCATCGAAAGACCTGACGCATTGACTTCAGCAAATCCATTCTAACAACAAATAATTTGCAACCACAATAAATACGTTGTAAAATGAGAAGAAATACAAGTAAATGAGACAGTACTGATATTTCTTTTGAAGGTAACGCAATGCGATTTCCTTCCATGCAAAGTGTGTTTGGAAAGAAGCGACGACGAAATGAAGCATCAAAACACGTCTTGTGCTTCACCAACACGCAATACCATTTGGAAAAAGAATGATGGCTACAGGTTGGGGAAGGAAAAAGTAGGCTTAACACCTCGTATCTAAATTCCTCCACAATATACAAGTAATTCAATAAGGCAATACATAGCTAACTAGCAAAATTTACAAGCTGCTAACGGTAGCAACTCAATACGGTGCTTGGTAACCCATGGGCATGCCGACATTGTAAGGGTTTTGGTAGGGATGCACCATTGGGCCTGGAACTGGCATGCCAGCATAAGGGTTATTTAATACCTTCTGGAAAGTCGCCTCGCCTCGCATACCCTCCATCTGGTAGCGTTGCCACATAATTTGTTCTTGAGATAAGAGCTGTTGCTTCGTGTTCAGATCTGACATCTGGACATAAGCAGGAGGGGGAACAACGGCGGATGCGGCAAAGGGATCCTCTCCGTTCACTGATGATGGTGTTGTTCCAGGAGGTGCAGGCAAAGCAAGAAAGGCAGAAGCGCGATTTGTGAGAACCACACTGCTTGCACTGCCCGATGGAGCTGAAGCAATAGCTTGTTTCTGCAGAACTTCACCCTGGTTGTACATACTGTCCAAGAGTAAATTGTCAAAGCCACCGGCCAAGGGCCTGTCAGGGGGAGGCTTCGACAGATGACTCGCAGATTCTACCAAGGCTAGCTCCCAACCAGCCTTTCCAGATTCTGAGGAATTGAACGTTTGTTGAGAATTTTTCTGATCGTCTGAATTGAAAGTCTCCCAGGTACTAGTTGTGGTTGACGTGGAAAAGAGAGCCAAAGCAAGTTTGTCGCTGTGATCTTCAGTAGATATGGTAGCCTGGTCCATGTTAAGCAAGTCTGTAAAACCAACAATACATGTCAGCATTTCAGAACAACAGAAACATTGTGTGCAGAATTATAAAGGACGAAGTATTTTGAAGAGTACCTCCTACAGATTGCGTTGGGGCAGGGGCTGGGGCTGTCTCTGGTTCGACTACAGCTGCAGGAGCTGTTTCCTTCGGAGGAGGTGCAGGTTCAGGCTCTGGTGCACGCTCAGGTTCTGGAGAACGCTCAGGAGATGGGGCCCTATACTCAAGCTGCAAAGGAGCAACCTCGGGGCTTTTGCTCCTGGTTTGACTTGGCACGTTCGACCTCATGTACTCCTCCAGACTGTTCAATTGCTCTTTAGGAACAGGTGAAACTTCAATGTACTCAGAAGATCGACCAACACCATAATGCATGCACATTTTGTACAAATCGTGTAGCTCATCCGCTTGTTTGGCGGACTTGATAAAAGTTTCGTACGCTTTAACCCTATCTTTTTGCTCCATGTCGAAGAAACCTTCCAGAAGGACTGCATAACCGTCGCAAATATCTCTGTAGAGCTGGAAACTTTCCTTGATGATGGGGTACAAGGCGTGCTGGACCAAGCGGTTGGTCTTTGCGGCACCAGCGGGTCGACACCCGAGCACTCGTTCCATCAATCTCTGCATGGCAGGAAGTTTTCCGAGCAGCTGCTTGACACTCATCTCCTTGATTGGCACATTGTCGGATTCTTCTTCTTTGTCGTCAAACCTGACATAGTTGGAAGTCGGCAGAAACTCAGAGCCTCATACATCTACCATCAAAATTCAACTTTCGAATTGCAAAAAGCATTTCAACAAATATAAGTGGTGATACAAAGGTAGAGAATGTGAATAAATAAATTCTTGAAATGATCAGCTCAAAAAGTTGAAAATAACAGACCTGTCATCTTTCCAAGAATCTTTGCGCCCTGACTTATTGCTATATCGTGGCGACAGTCCCCCGTCGTAATTGCTATGACGTCGGGTATCATTCGTAGTTGCAATGCTGTACGCACGAGAATCAGGAGACCCGGCGTAGCGAGATCGACCATCCGGGGAACCTCGGTAACTTGATCTCACAGGAGATTTGCTGTAGGAAGATCTGCCTCTGCCTCTGCCTCTACCGCTACGGCTCTTGTTCTTCCCCGATACTTGCAACGAGCAATCTAAACGCTCGTCAAGGAACAATCCATAGGTCCGAACAAAAGAGCTGTAATCCCACGCATTTGAATGAGTTTCATCTTTAAAGTCCGAAAGATTCACAATGCGGCGACCACGTCGAGAGGCATGCATCAATTCGTCTTCGAAGTTAGGGTCACCATCGCGAAGAAGGCGATGACAAAGCATGAGACCCTTCAACGCCACATTCCAATCGTGTGTCTTGGCTAACCTCCTGCCAAGACCTTTGACGCACGCATTCACGTAACCACGGGAGTGGGACGTAAGGTGCAGAATTTCGTGGACATGTTTCTCGTCGAAGTAATCGTCATGGCTGGTTGCCTTCACAATCGCTACATCCAGGTCCGGTGCTTTCGCGCCACCTACTTTAGCAATGCCGATACTAGTCTGATCCTTCAGACCACCGATTGCTTTACGGATTTTTTTAGGTGCAATCGCCTGCGCGCGAACACACAACTCAATGAACTATAACTTCAGAGAATGTTCAAAACTAAAAATGCCCCTGGGCACGAAAATGAAGCAGAATTCCTTCATCGAGATATAGATTCTCACTTGAAGTCCCAAATTGACATGCATAAAAAATGTGAAAGAAATTGGCTCGGAGGACCCCCATACTGTCAGCATAAAGAATACATCGAGAAGTTCTAATAACTGCCATGTGACTTCCACGACAAAACACACCAGCAAGCGGAGAAAGCAACACAAGCAGGAGAACAGGGTGGGTCGCTCGAGGGGAACTCAGGTCCTGAGTGAAGATGCAAACTACAGCTGTAAATTTAGAATCAAATTGTTAAATCTAGAGACCAAGAGATAATACAGACGAATGCCAATTGAACTATCATGTGCAACACATGCGATTGCAAATTTAGCGTCTCGCCAGTGCTACACGTATCGTTCTATACCGACAAAAATACTCCACTTCGCAACCATCCATTAAGAAGTGGTGCATCGACTTTATGATCCATCTTCTACCCAACTTACCGTGGTAATACTCTCCCAGCACTGCAGATCTACTCTGGAAGTGTCTGCAAGAGAATGATTCTAAATGCATCTACTGAATACTGAGCACAGACTTCATAGTCCAGCCAAAACGCCTACATTAAGCGATATGAACCTCGAACCCTACAACTTGCAAGGTCTTCACATCTCATAACCTCCAAAAGCACACATCTCAACATCAACAAAAGAACTGAGCATTAAAATCCTAGTCCACCGAGAAGACACGCACCATTTGCGCGAACCCTGAAGTGTAGGCTCTCTGTCGCGAAAAGCAGCGCCAACCCTCAAGCACAAAGCGCTTTCACTCACAGTCTCAACAATGCTCCCACCACCCCTGCCAACTTCATAGATTGGCTACGCCACGCAAGCCAAACAAGCGTCTCCGAGCACAGAATCTCCTCTAAATGGTACTACGCCACTGCAAGCACGCCCCCTCTTTCACTCGCACCACAAGTGAATTCGACCTGGTCTTCGCAACTCACATCTCAAAACCTACACAGGACACACAGCAACCGTGTCTGACCTCTTTCTCTCCAGATCTTTCGCCCTCTCTCGCTCTCCCTACCTGCGCCTTACACACTATTGCACCAAGCAACTCCCGTCTTCTCACTTCACCACTTCAAACCCCCCTACATTCGTCGAGCTGTCCTATCAATACAATAATCGCCGTCCTGCCTGGCAAGGTCTAAGACATCGGGGTGGACAGCAATCAGGCTGTAGCGCATTCGGGGCTGGCGAACGCGGGGAGGACTGGTGCGGTTACTAGCACACGAGGATGGCGTAGAAAAGAGCTATGGAGGCCAGAAGCAGACGACGACGACGGAACCCCACCTCCGTCGACGAAAACGCAACAAAAAACAGGCGTGTTGACCGGATGCCCATGTGCCGACCCCGGGCTCGGTCAAAGGTTGCAACCGTCCATCCTATGGCCGAGCCACACGGTCTTGCGTCGAAGGCTTTCCTGACTGCGGATCGTCCCCGAAGGTCACATACATCTCGGTCACTTCGGTTTCGAATTTCCAGCTCTACAGCGCAAATCTGTCTCCGAGGTCGAGTCTATCACTCCGCTCTGGCAGTATCCATGCCGCTCACTGATTACGCGGCTCTCGGCTTACTCTGCTAATTGACACGTTGGACCGAGGCGCTTCCCCGTTTTGGAAGTAGACTGGAGCGCAATTTCAAATATGAGTGTGTTGCGGGCATGATTGTTCCAATATGGCGCCGTGGAGACGTTGAAATCCAATCAGTGTGACTGTCATCGTCGTTGTTGTAGCGACCTTTAACCCTGTGCACAGGATCGAATCAGGGCAGAACAGGGAAGAGCAGAGCAGGCTGTGGACCTGGTCAGATGATTAACCGATCGATGATAGAGCGAGATTACGGCCTGTTCGAGTTGCATTTACTGCATTAAGTTTCTGGATGCATTTTCGCCTTCTGCCACAAATTCCTTATCATTCTGCGAAGGTGGGTTGTTAATCGCTTAAGTTTATATCTTAAAATAAACACGGAGCGACATATTGCTCTCCACTCCGCGAGGTTGTAGCAGTATCGCTGTCTTGTTAGGTTTCGCAAGCATCTGTTATTGAAACTATGCATTCGCCATCAGTTAGTGGTTTCATTTACACGCTAATAATAATGACTTTTGTAGATTAACAATTGTGTTAACGCAACGAAGAAATTTTGTTTATTGAATTAAGGTGAATTTTTTCATACGGATACGAATAAAGTGAACACTTCGAACATTCAACAAAAACACTGATAAACTCTTGTTGAGGACAACAGTTTTGAAGGTGTTGCATGTTCTTGGACTGGTACACTAAATATGAAAATGAGATATTTATATACCTGAAGATTTACAGATCGTTTTGATGCACACAAGCATTGTTACATTAAAATTTTGGAAAAAAACTGGACAGTTTTTTTCTTTTTTCTTTTTTCTTTTTTCTTTGTTTTTTTTAAAAAAATAAATGAATGAACAGATGATTGTGTGGAGAATACTGAACATCTTACATATTGTGTTGGATGAATCCCACTTGCCCTTATTTGTCTTGATTTAGTTTACATTCATTGAAAATAGGTTTATTTTATTGGGGATGAAGTGCAAAGTGCATTGTTGTGCCATGACATTGTTAACTTTTTGTGCATCTTGTATAGGCATGTTTTGTCACTTCCATTTATGGTTAGTATAAATGAATTGGTCTTAATGTTTGAAAGCTCTTATAGCCTTCAAAAAGTCTGTAAAAATAAAATAAAAAAAAAACACAGAAACAAGGGATGCGTCCAAATTTGTACATCACAGCTCGTCCTCCATTGTTTGTAAGAAAATAGATGTTTTTGTGTACTGTTCAATGTTACTGCAGCTTTAATATGATCTCCTTCATCATAGATGGAACTCAATTTGTAATTCTATACCATGTAATCAATTTTAATTTTAAAGTGTACTCAATAAATCAAATTAACATGGCCTCAAATAATCCTACTTTGAGCTTTATCTTGTGAACAATTTGAATGAACAATAAATTTAAAAACATCACCTCAAATTCTTTTGTAGATATAATATTACACAAAAAAAAAAAAAAAAAAAAAAAAAAAAATCTCATCCAAAAAATAATGACTAGAATGAATCTTTTATTTAGTTTTCATATATGGCTAAAATACTTTCTAAATATTATTTTTAATAATATATCTACTTTGGAATATTATATTTATATAATAAGGAAGCTCAGTTGGTTATAGGACAAAGACATAAGATTTCTCATTGGCCAAAATTGAAGAAAAAATTGTTAACTAGTAGAAAGCCATACATAATTTGCACAAAGACCTCCAATTTACTATCTATACAACATATCATTTTATAGCTTTTCCATGCCCAATGGCATGCGTTTTTGCTAGTATGTACATATACTTATATTTATATATAAGTGTATTTAAATTATGTCATAATAAATGATAATGACACAAACAAATGTAAAGCATTCATGATGGGGTTCAAAACAATTTGATTTTGTAAAAATGAACAGTACAAGCACATTTGGGTTTGATTCCAACAGACAATAAATGTAGTTTAAAAGAATAATTGTATTCATGGAATATATTTTTTCATTTACTACTGAGTGAATGCAACTATTATTTTACATTTTGACAAATAACCGTATTACAATTAATTTTTGGAAAACTTTACTTTTTGAATTACTTAGATAATGTAAACCAACTAATATGATTTACACAATAAAACCCTTTCAAAATAATAACCATAAGATTAATTAAAAAAAGTCAAACACTCTTTTTTACCAAAAAGTTTACAAATTCTAACCTACCAATAAAATATATGGGTATATATATATATATATATATATATACATATATACACACACACATATGTATATTTTTAAAAAAATCAACAAAAACACCAACACATTTTAATTTCATTACTTCTGAAGTTGCTCTTCATAAGAATAATTTTCACAAAAATTTACACAGTTTTATGAGTACTGTATTAGAAAAACTGGGCCAGGATTAAGCTGTTTCATTTTTTCGCGGCCAAGATGACACCTTTTTTGTTTCACTATTTTTAGAAGTTAGAAAACAGGTGTTTAAAACGTGTGGACTATTGTCCTTTGAAACTATTTTATAGAATGTCGAATTCACAAATCCTACCCAACATATAATTATAGACAAATTAAAACACGTGACCCCGTTCAATTTTTATTTTTATTTTTTATTTATTTTTATCATGATTGTTTGATATATATATTCCATGGCTTCATGCTTCACTATCTACAAGCGCAAAGATGCTTTTCAAGTCACTTGAGTCATTGAAAAGCCCACACAGTAACATCATTTTAATTATTGTCATTTATTATTTGATAAACACATCTTGTTAATATAGTCATTTAATCAACTCGCATTCATGTTGTTGGAAAAACAATGTGCACGTAATAATTATCTTTGAAACATTCTTAATTTTTTTTTTGCAAGCATTGGAAAACAATACCTAGAGTTAATTTTTCCACTATACAATCTCGCACCCTAGTAAAAAATGCGGATATTAATCCCACCAGGGGACGTCGGTGTGAACAGTCGAAATAGCAATCCCACACGGGGATTCTGGTGTGAACAACGCCGAAAATAATCCCATCCGAAAATAGCTGTGCGAACAGAGAAAAAAGCAATCCAGTCAGTGTGCCTGTGTGAACGCGGCGACCACGCTGTGTGACGCAGCGTCGTTGCGAGATTTGAAGATTGAGGTGCGGCTATGGCGAGCGAGCTTCGCAGGGGAAGTTCAGCAATTCGCATGCTGGCGCTCGTCGGGTGAGTGTTCTGCATTGTGCTGCTGAAAAATTCCGCTCCCTCAGCTGGTTTTTTCGGCTGCTGTTTTGGTTGCCTCATTCGGTGTGGCGATTCCCGGCGTGGTGTGATGACTATAGGAATGCTCGGCAATTGACTATCTCCCGAATCGCGAAGCCCTGGTCGACTAGTCATTGACGTTTCTGTAAGGAATTTCGGATAACTTCTGTTGCTTCTATATCGAATTACGATCTTCTTTTATTTTTATATTCTTCTTATTTTGCGTGAGTTAGCTATGGTAAAGAATTGAATTCTACACCTCTGTTAATGGTCACTGTAAATTCTGCCAGTTTTGAGGGGTTCTGAGGTTTTTGGATTCACAGGTGAATTCCGTGTTGTGGAAGCGCGAGCTATGGCGGATGCCGTTCGCCCTGTTTCCGCTTTCCTAACAGTGTCGTCTCGCTCACCTTTCTTTTCTTGCCAACCGGTCGTTGCTCGGCCTTCATCGCGGAGCTTTGCTCCTCGCATATTTGCCGCACGCCTCAGAATTAGTGAGTTCCTTTTCTGATCAATTGAAGTTTGAATCGAGACGTCGTTTCTAGGAATTGGAATTTTTGGAAATGTTCTTTGCTGGATGACATGACACTGATGGAAATGCTTTTGGGCGGCAGTGGCTGAGAGTGACCCTGTGCTTGATTGGATCAAGGGGGACGGGGGTGCAACGAAGATTCTACGCTCGGCACCTGTTGGAGGAGGTTGCATCAGCACTGCCACTCGCTACGATACAGACGCGGGCTCCTTCTTCGTTAAAACCAACTGGTAAACTCAGAAGTTAACCCGCAGGTTGCAAATGAAGTGTTGACTGATTCAGTTGCATCGACGTTGGTAGCGCGTGGAAGATTTTCCACGATGCTAGATCTAAATTTAATTTGAAGATGAAAATTTAATTTGGTTGTGGATGTGAATTGAGAGAGCTTATTGATACAGGGACACTGGGCCAGCAATGTTTGAAGCTGAAGCTGCCGGGTTGAATGCCATGCACGCGACAGGCACAATTCGTGTTCCCAAACCATTGAAAGTAAGCCTGATAATACGTACGTGAAAGTCTTGATCACAATACCTACCACGATGTTTGGTAGAGCAGTGCGAAGTGTATTCTGAGGCGGCAACAAGTGTGACTGACAAAAGCCGTGTCAACTGATGTAGGTTGGTCCATTATCAGCATATTCGAGAGGGTCCTTCATCATTATGGAGTATATCGAAATGGGGTCATCTAGAGGAAATCAAGTATGTATGCTCCGCACTGATTTCTTTGTAGAACCGCCTGATCACTTATTTTGTTGAGAGAGAGCTAATATTGTGGGTAAATTGTCACTTTTTGAGTCTGTTTCAGGCAGAGCTTGGTAGGCAACTAGCAGAAATGCACAAGACGAGTTCATCAGAGAAGGGCTTCGGGTTTGATGTAGACAACACCATTGGCAGGTCTCTCAACATACACACTTTCATCCTTCCAAGGCATTGGAAATTTGCAATGAAGAGAGTATTTCACTGCCTGTGGATGGGTAAACAAGATCATGGCTGTCGTATTTCAGTTATATTGCGAATAGTGGATGCTACGAATGAGACACTGGATCGTACTGATGGGACATGTATTGATCGCCAGCACACCACAAAAGAATCCTTGGACCGACGACTGGATTACCTTCTTTCGCGACCATCGTCTTGGATTCCAATTACAGCTCATAAAGGATCAGTATGGCGACAATGATCTCTACGTTAAAGGTGAGTACCTCAAATATAATGGTTATGCACCCCTCGTTGTCAATGAGTAAGTTACATGGTAGCAGACTTTAAACACTCCTTAGTCGACGAAAATGTAGATACTTCTACGGATGTTTCTGCGTGATATAATGATTTGACTTCTTCATGAATACGCATCACGAAGGATGATAACTTTCGGCAATGACAGGGCAGCGGCTTATGGAGAGGCTGCCGACCTTGATGAAGGACCTTGATAACGTTCGCCCATGTCTATTACATGGTGACCTCTGGAGCGGCAATGTTGCCACGGATGCAAAAGGATCCCCCGTAGTACTTGATCCTGCATGTTATTGTGAGTAAATATTGCATTGAACTTATTTGCCCCTACTCAGTTGGTGCTTATACTGAGATTTGTTGCCATTTTAGGCATTTTAGTGAAACCTCACCTAATACATTCAATCAGAGAAGCTAATGTTTCATTCTCTACGACCAGATGGGCACAATGAAGCGGAGTTTGGAATGTCATGGTGCGCAGGGTTTGGCCCCTCTTTCTATGACGCTTACTTCAAGGTACAAAGTTGAATGCATCTACCTAAATCTGTAGGAGGTAGAAGAGTTTGTTACGCCGTGCTGTAGTTCACTTCTGTTGAGACACCACATGATCAAAGCTACGTGCATTGGAGGTCGATTAGCGTGAGGAGAACCAAGTATCGTCAACTTTTTCATTTGTCATTGTTTTCTCGCTAGGGTTGTGGCTATTTCGTTAACATTCGTTAAAATTCTATCTAAAATACAGGTCATGCCAAAACAACCAGGGTTTGAGCAACGGACAGAGCTGTACAAATTATACCACTACCTCAACCATTATAATCTTTTCGGATCAGGATACCGTGGCTCCTGCACTTCCATAATTAATAGCTATCTTGCAGTTGCGCGTTGAGGTTTAGACTACTGTAGTGGTATTCAGTCTTACTTAACGCAGCGGATGCGTAAGTATTATAAGAGCTTTGCGCAGCAGCATGCACGTTCCACTTTGAAATCGGCATTAGTGCTTTTATTCACGTTTCATGGCATACTTATTGTTGATTATGAAAACATGTGATATGTATATTAAAACATCTTGCTGCTTCTGTTCCTGAAATTCAGTAAGAAATTGCACTGTATCCTACTGATGTGTACCCAAATGCATTGGAGTCGCTGCGATATGAGTTGTGATCATCGCAAAAATGAAGTGTAAAAGAAACGTAGCAAAAATAGCCGTCAGGCATTCAGGATGGTAATTTTCTTTTGTCCTTGTTCGACAAAGATTGGTTACATGAAAGCCTTGAAGGACGAAGCTGAACTTTCCATTCTTCAGATGCCTTTCGTAAAGTATTCCGTGAAATGTTGACGTAACGTGGTACAGTTCTCCCCGGCTTTTGTGAATTGTAATTCGTAGAACGATTTGGTTGGCTGCAGCTTTGTGCCATGATGTGGCAATCCCTTGTTTTGTGAGGTTAAGAGAGACTTTCTGGACGCCTGTTGATGGCCTTTATATCTTCCAATCATTAGTGGGGCATGTGTCCGTTTCCAAATGAAACCAGGACCTCACGTTTTTGTTCCTTGGTCGATTGGCTGACGGCTGGAGTGAATTTTTTTGGGTCAAGTTGGTGTCAAGTTTGGTTTTGTGGTAATTTTGTCGCACAATCCCCAGCTGGGTCAACAGTTGCCGCTAGTTGTCAAAGCGTCGTCCAGCTACTAGGAAGGGCAAGCGTGGACGCCAGCATTCGCGTGCTATGAGCCTGTGTTGGAGTGAAAGAGTTTCAGATCCTAAAAGAGGGCGCCATCGGATCTTTGAAATTTCGCAGCTGGATGGGAGTCTAGCCTGAAGCGAGAATTGTACTTTGGAGCAGGGAGTGGGGTGGATATGGCTGGAGAAGGACGCTCGAATCTGGGGATGAAGATTGAGGGTTTGCCCTCAACCCCCAAAAATGCTATGGAGTGGATCGGCAACCTGTGGAACGATGCAGCGAATGTTAGTTGGATTCTTTCCATGTTATCTGATTTAGAATCGATTCGCCAGTCCCCGCAGCCATATCACCTGCCTCGTCGTGTTGAAATTGTTGGAAATGATTTTGACGCCGGCAGTCTAGCTGCTAACCTGCTTACATGTTCGCTATTACTCGAATTTGCGTTGTGGGGTGCACAGATATGCTACTTTAATCGCAGCTTTCCAAATATGTAGAGTATTATATTAACAATTATTGCAATTCAATACGATGTATTTTAGGATTTCGAATGTTTAGTAACCGAAAAGCGTATCGACACCAACCTCTGGAGGTTTTCAACTTTTTTAATGAAGGGATTATTCGTTTAGGGATCAAAGATAAGATTGGAAATTCATCGAGAGCTCAACATGTAGATTTTCTATCGGAGAGAACGTAGATAATGTTGAATTACATGCAGTCGGGGAACACTTACGCAGCTAACTATGTTGTTGCTACGCCATGTCAGATAGCCCAGCAATCAGTGTCAAAATGGACACAGGGTATGCAGACCGGCAAACTAAAAAGTGGTGGCAACAAAATTGCACCTCAACCTATGGCAGATCCAGAACAAGCAAATGTTGCAGCTGAGCACAAGTTGGAGAAAGAGATGGCGGCATGGAGGCGCAACAGCCAGTGGAAAGTTGATTCGCCTGCCATTGAGGTATATCACACTCATTCACTATGAATATATCCATTAGTTTTCAGGTGATCACTTGAATCCTGACGCTCTCTTCAGACCTAGATTCTCGTTTAGGATTGCAAGATGCAAATGCTGGAGAAAATCTATCACTAGTTCTGCTCAAGAACGCATTAGTCTTTAATTTACGACAGAACGGTTAATACCTAAGCTGAGTCGAACATGTTTATGGAAGCACGTGGATTTACATGAGTGATAAATGTCAACTCTGGTGGTGTTCATAGGGTCAATGTTCATAATTTGTTGCTATCTCAGCTGGCCGTTGGTAATAGCAAGGTCTAGATGTTGGAATAATAGGGTTAAGGTAGTGTGTGTTTGTGCTGCTAGCGTGCAGTTTCAATCACGGCATGTATGCTGATCACTCAGGTCGGCAGAGAACACTGGGCGCTAGAAGTGACGACATTGATCTGATACTAAAGCAACATTTTACATGGCTGCAGGTGAAGGTGCCAAAGGAAGCCTTTTGTGAACTTCGTTCTCAGTTTAAGATAGGACTTCCTCCTCACGCAGTGTGGAATATTTTGATAGATCCAGGGAATAAACGGGTTTTCAAAAATATTAAGGTAAATAGCATGTTGATGCTGTAGTACTTACGGGTTGTGCATTCCGGAAATTTGGGAAGTAATATTTTATCCGTAGGGAAGCGTTCAAATATTTTCTGTTTGGTTTTAGGGGGATTATTTGTTTGGGGCAATAGATGCTGATATATAGCTCAATAACTACAGGAAGTGACGTCTCGCAAAGTGCTGGAGGATGATGGACATAGGCAATTAGTGGAGGTAGACCAAGCAGCAATTTGGAGGTTTTTGTGGTTTTCTGGAACACTGAGCGTATGTGTTCTAGTTGACCAGGACCGACGATCGCATCTGGTAAGCCCTGAGATCATGAAGTCAAAGCTGAGGTCTAAAATGGTGTCAGTGAAGTGATGCACAATGCTCTATTTTTTGCTTGTAAATTCATCACTCTTTTACAATTTAGTTTGAAGGGGTGGAGGCAAACCTTCACAAATTGCTTGATCCATAACGCTTTTGAATCAGTTTATGGATCACTAGTTTCTAGAGTGTATAACGTGGGCTCTATGGAAGATGTGTAACAAGGCTTATCTGGGCTGTTACCCGTATGGGCTCATTGTAAGAGCTGAGCCGGAATCAATGTGGTCAAGCAGTTTGGTTGACTTGCAGATGAAATACAGGCTTGCAAGGCAAGGTTTTATGAAGCAATTTGAGGGATCTTGGAAAGTAGACCCTCTATATGTCGATGCCCAGGGTAGCCCCTCTTCAGAAAATGAAGCGGACAGAGTGGCATCAATCGTTTCCTTGGAGCAGGTAATTTCTAGCCCCCGTTTCTGCTAGTACTACATATTCTGCTATGGATTTCATGATTTGAATCACTCGTGTAAGTGTTGTTAATAATCACAACCCTGGGTGTCGGCATTTTAGAGTGAGTAGTTTTCAGCAGAATTTAGTATTTTCTAATGAGTGAGCTCTGCGTTACACGACCAGTGCGGTTGTTCTCAGGATGCATTAAGTTTTTGTTGCTTCTTGTTCCATGGCAGGTGGTGCGACCCGCAGTCGTGCCCCCTCCTCCCTTCAAAAGCTATGTCCGAGGAATCACAACTCGGACAACAGAAATGTTGCTGCAAGATCTACAGGCAGAGGGTAAAAGACTGCGAGAACTCTCAGTGGATTCTTCCGGAGTTGACCTTGAAACTTCTTCAAGTGCATTTCAGGATGAAGAATCTATGGATGCAAATTCGGACCAGTTGAAGAAACTTACGGGTAGCCGGCGGAAGCCAAGGAAGAGCAAGTGGAGGCTAAAAGAGGACTCATGTCCCTGAACTCCACCAACGAATTCTCCAGAGCATCTCCATTCAAGTAAGACCCAGACGTTTAGAAATGCGTAGCTACTGTAGTTCTTTAAGTGCTATTTGCCGAAATCCTGGCTAAGAAAGCTGAGTCATCACTAAAAGCTCACATCCTAGTCTAGACTGATATGTGGTATTCCATGCTCAAGAAGTATACTTCTTGAGAAGTGTGTTGCTGGTGGGCAAACACTTGCTCTATTTCATCCCTTAATTTTACAAGAGGAGTGATTTTGATTACTTATCACTCTGCTTTTGCACTTGCTCATTTTGTGCCATGGATGCTACTGTTGGATTTTGTTTTCTGGAGGACATTACGTCTATGCTCACTGGAGGAGAGATCATGGGTCATGGCTTGAGTTTTTTTCCCTATGATTTTAGAGTCCTCCTTATTCTTTAAACAATTCTTTACATGCAGAGTGAGAGTCTTTGCTGGTTTCTACACTCTCCAGTGACTAAAAGCTCACAATTCAATGCATGTTGCTCTAAATTGTAGTTTGCATCGCCACTTTTGTTTCAAGGTTGGAGGTGAACACTTTAGAAATTGATGCGTATTTGGCAAGGACATAGTGTTCTAATTTGGCAAAACCGAGATGTATGGATGAATTACATGTTTTTTGTGGAGCTATGTGAAGAGTTAATAAAGCAAAGTTGGAGTTAAATAACACTTATTACTCTACACATATGAAGATTGAATTTAATAATTAGATAAACATTTTTTAATATTTATTAAGATGTTCAGTTGTAGAGTTAAAAAGTATGTTAGCAACCTTGATAAATTAGAGGCACTCAATGACTTCTTACATCAATTTAAAATGCCAACAAGAAATCATTTAAAAATAAGGTAAGGTGGAGCACAAAATTTAATTAATAGGTGCTTATCTAAATAAAGAGTTTCAGTAAGTTCAAATTTCTTTTATGTGTTTGCTTGAGTTAGCAATTGAAGGGTAATTAGAGTAGTCTAGGGGTAGTCTAAAAAATATATAATGTTTAAAAATAGTGTAGTATTGGTGAGATAAATAAAAAATTATATTCTAGCTTGTTTATTTTTTAATTATGATTTTTTTCAATTGGCATAAATAAATATTGTAACTCTATGAATTTATAAAATGTATTATAATAAAGATTTTACCTACCATATTTACATACATTGTGAAAAGTTGTAATGTTTTAAAATTTTAGCACTTTTAAAAAAGTCATATCAATTTATTATTTTACACCATTATCATGTTTAAAGACACATAATTCTTTAAAAGCACATTAAAAAAAATATCATTCTTGACTTAAGTGAATGTAAACTATATCTCTTTATATTTCTAAACATAAATATTTAGCATCAATTTAATATACTATCTACTCTAATGAGATTATAAATAGTTTTTTTTAGATGTGCAAGATATTAATCTCTATAATTATTTTTTATTTTTATTTTTACTTTTTACAATTTATAATAATTCAACTTTCTTTTGTTATCAAGTTCAATTTTTTCTTGGCATTGAATCTGACATGCATATAAATAATAAATTATCATCTATGAGATATCAAGTTTAGGAAAAAGATTCTACATTTTGTGTGTAGCTTGTCTCTCATTCTTGGAGTTGGAGGTAATAGGCACACAATGGATATATAGCTAAACCCTATTTCTAAAAATCTTTCCATGTTTCAATAGAATGACACATGTTTTGATTGCTCTTAAGTATGGTAGGGGTGGACCTCAACAACCAAGAAATCCTTAGTTTAAACATGGGTAGTGGCATCAAATTTGGTCCAATCGAAGTATTATATTTTTATCAAATGAAGCCCAATTTGTTTTTGCTTAAAATATTATATCTTAAACTATCTTTTCTTAGGTTATTACTATCATCCTTAAGCCATAGTGAACCAAATTATGTAAACAATTGTTTTAAATATTCATCCACTTTGATACTCAATCTAGGGATTGATTCCTTCCTTACCACACTACAAACATTTGTCAAATAGAAACGATACAATTCGTTGGTAACAAACGATGAAAGCAGGGGAAAGGGAGACGAGGAGGAGGAGGGAGGCATCTGATTTTCATCTGATTGTTCATCCCGAGGGTAGAACGAACTTCTTTCCGCGACCCCCATGTAGCCTGGCCTCGTGGCCCCCGCCGCCTCGTGGAGGGAGAATGCGAAGGTTTTGAAGGGCGAGCTTCGTGTGTGTGAGTGAGTGAGAGATTGCTCACAAGGAGCTGCCGTCCTCGTGCCCATGCGGTGCTGCGAGGTCATCAAGCCCTCGATGAATTGGTCCCGATCAGCAGGGACAGCATCACAGAGTTCGTGTTAGCGAGAGACAGGCAGGCAGGCAGGCAGGCAGAGGGTTGAGAGTGGGATTGCAGCGATGGCGCTAGGGTTGCAGAAGCTGGCGGGGCTGCGCTCCTCGCTGCTCGGGTCGCATGGCCCCCTGCGTGTCGGTGCTGCGTTTGCGATGGCTCGCCCTTGGGCTCTCAGCGTAGCAATGCACGCGAAAGCTGCACCTCCTGTCGAGGAAGAGGTATTGGGTTGGGGTTTATGGGGTTTTGGCACGCTGGGGTTTAGGGCTTTGGTGAATCTGTGAAGAGTGTGGTTGTTCGGGGTGAGTAGATCGCCCATGGTTATCATGGATTGGGTGTCATTGCGTCGTGGATTTGAGGGATCGGTAGTTGGGGCCGGGGTACGTGAATTTGTCGTGTGGTCATGACATGTAGCGTACATTTGGAAGGAGGAGTTTATTTGAAAGTCACGTGCTAGCTAGTTGGATGGATGCATTCCCGATTGTTGGTTGCATGGATAGCGACTTGGAGGGGTAGAGCAGTGTTTCGATTAATCAGGACCAATTTATAGAGTATGGGTATTGAGGGGAGAAGGTGGATATGTTTTCTTCGTGTGAATCGAAGCATTTTTAAATAGTTCTTCTGACCGCTACTTTTGTATTTCAAAATTCTAGTGCCACATACTAAGGGTATTCTCTTTCAGAGTATGAGTTATCGTTTGCTGAAGCTGTCTTTTTAAGGTTTGGTATTCCATCGTCTTGGAGGGTTGAGGGTTTAATGGTTCCCTTCATGAATTTTGTAGATTGCTAGCTGTTAGATGTATCAGCAGCACTAGGGTATTTTCTATCTCAAGCATTGCTGGTGGCATTCACCTATGTCACTGCAGTAAGCGAGGGGCTTACATAAAGCTCAACTAAGCATTGAGTGGACGATTTATTCTGGGTGATATTGTTTTCTTTAAGTTTTCGACCCATCCAATTTATGTTCAACATTTGTTTCTACAGTGTCCCAGCCATGTTTTGGGTGAAACTGCTGGCGGATTACCGAGTCCTCAAAGATGTTCTGCCTAGCATGAATTATGACGTAGTGGTCAAGCAGGGTTGAAGTTGTGTGGTCCGTTTAGACTGCTAAGCTCTGAATTGGTGCCGATTACAGGTATTGGTTGAAGATGGATTCGCTACGAAGGTCGCCATCTTGAATAGGCCGAAGAAACTCAATGCCCTTAATGAAAATATGGTAGAGACAACTTTCTTTTCGTAGTGTACTTTGATTAGTTATCCTGATTTATCTTCAAGTGTGCCGAAGAGTAGACGGATAGAAAGTTGATGACATAGTACTTGTGAGGACGGGAACTTTGCATCTGAGATAATGATTATTTTGGCAGAAAAGAATGGTTTTTATTGAGGTGTATGTCATTAATCTTCTGAGAATATGCAGAGAACGTGCTTTGACTTAGACACAGTGAGCGTTTTAATTAGAGTTAAGTTTTCTTGAGTCGGGAAGGGATGTTTCTCAGCTGTTTACGGCTTGATCTGGTAATTATGAAAGTCCTCACTCAAGCTCGCCATTGACTAGATTGACCGCTTGCTGGAACTTTACGCAAAATGGGAAAAGGACAAGCATGTGCGCATGGTTATTCTTACAGTGAGTACTTCTTTTGCCTTCTTACCCTAAATTTGTAAGGTTGGCAACCATATGATATGGAAAATTCAGGTTCACTTAAGCGACACAGAGTGTTTTGATTGAGTTCTTCATGGGTGAACGCTTGTTGATTATAAGCAGACATGCAATGGGTCTAGTGCTATTACCGGTCGTCATATATGTACTTCCTGGTTTCAATTAGTTGAAGGACATGAAGAACTGTTTTGGACCCGTAAGCAGAGATTCGTTGTGGTGCGCATTGTTTCAGCCATTTTGGTTCCCAACCCTCATATGAGACCTTTTTCCAAAATTGTAAATAAATTGATCGAGGTCTGACGTCTTAGAAGTGCATGCGATGTTTCGGAATGTGTCCACAAGGGTGCTGGACGGGGTTTCTGCGCAGGAGGTGATGTAGCGTCGGTGTATCATTTTGGAAAAGCTGGTTAGCTCGCAAATGACATTTTCGACTACTTTTGAATATGCGGAAGTTATATTTGAGTATTTAAGTGTTCCAATTATTTTCAAACTAAAACATTATACGGACTTTATTATGAAACTAAATTTGTGGATTGGCGTGAACAGGTCAACAGGAACGTGGTAATACATTTTTTAACAAAGAGTATCACCTCAATTATGTTTTGGGAACTTTCAAGAAAATCCACGTATGTATATCCGGTGGATGTTCACTTTTTGGCTCGTTTATTCCGTGATAAACGGAATTGCTATTAACATCTTGCAAATTTTCCTGCCAGGATCCTCTGCTTATTCGTTTTACATGAGATACATAAAATATATGATATCTATCTTGAGTATTTTCTCAAGAATGCAACACCATAATTATGCAGGTGGCTCTTCTTGATGGTGTGTGTATGGGTGGTGGTAATGGAATCTCCATGCATGGAAAGTTTCGAGTTGCTACAGAAAATACTGTAAGTGCATACTTGAAATGACAGTCTCCACTACTACCTGCCTCTGGGGCTTTAAAGTAGGAGTTGATCATTTTAGTATCGCCTGAGCTGTACTGAAAGCTATCCTATCTATGTTTTCAAGGAAATTGATTATATGTACAGTACTGACAGTTATGTATCGGTTTCAGTTATTTGCCATGCCGGAAACTGCCATAGGGCTTCATCCTGATGTTGGGGCGTCGTATTTTCTTTCAAGATTACCTGGCCATCTAGGTACAGCAGTGAGGCCGTATTCTTCTTTTCAATTTTGCTTCAATTCCCTCATTTTATCCTTTGTGGAAGGAGTTTTTGTAATTGCTGATTTTGATACTGGTCTGGGACTTCGGTCTACTTTCATATTTCCCCTTCTGAAGGGCTCAATTTGTTAGATCTTATTTTTACCTTTAACATCAGCCTTTATGACGTATTTAATTCTAGATGCTTTGCTGCTCTGCATGATCTGTAAAATTTAAGTCTAACTTGTGCCAAGGCTGTGGATACGTGCTGTTTTATAAGACGAATGGTAGGTGTCAGGTGTAGAAGTGTTATATCTTGAAATGTTATGAAGGTTATGAACGTTCTCTAAGCAGTATTTTGCATTTAGCAGGTGAATACTTAGGCCTCACAGGATCTAGGCTTGATGGAGCAGACTTGCTTTCATGTGGCCTTGCGACACACTTTGTTCCCTCACAGGTAACCGGTTTAAGGTCTAGGATATAAGTTTCCATTACATATGATCGGTCACCTTAGAAAATTGTTCGAGCTATTTCAACATTGCATTTTTTTGAGGCTTCGTCAAGGATGAAATGTTGCACTTCCTATCAAGGTTGTGTGATGAAATTAGTTCAATCTTCATTTTTGGTTGCAGCGACTGGCTGATTTGGAAGACCGGCTTGGTGGTCTTAACACTGGAGATCCAGAGGTTGTGGGCATTGCTATTGACGAATTTTGTGATGTTGTCTACCCCGGAGACAAGAGCCCTTTGCACCGGTACGTGAAAGTCCAGGCGTACTACGATATGCGAAGTCATTTTCAATATTTTTAGATCATTCTGTTCGTTTTCATAATTTTGTTAATTGAATGGAGGTTTACATTATTTGATTACTTAATTTTGGATGTGAAGGAAGGAAGATATTGATGAATGTTTTGAGAAGGAGACTGTGGAAGAGATCGTAGATACTCTTGTAAGTTCATCATTTGCTCATTTTTCCACAGAATCTTGTCAGAATCTTGTCTCAGGAGGAGAGATCTATTGTTGGAAAAACGATATGTTGAACAGGTTCCTAGAGTTGAATAGGAATTTTCTTCCTAAGACTAGTTTTCTTGAGTTCCAAGAGCTTGGCAAAGTACAGACAATGTAGGTCTAGATTACCACTATCTAGCAGTTTCCTATCGTATCAATGTCTTTATAATAATGTCATATTTTTACTGGCATATATTTTGAATCTTGCAGGAGACAAAAGCTGGGAGTAATGAAGATGAATGGTATTCAAATACTCTGGCATTAATGAAGAAAGTATCTCCTATTAGTTTGAAAGTGACGTTGAGATCTGTAAGTTCAATATCACGATTCAGGACGATTATTGCCCCTAGGTGTCTGGTAATATCTTAGTATACAAGGTTAAAGGTCTGAATTTAAGTTTTGCGAAGGTTGGTCAATGATCTTGCTTGTATTGACTTTGTGTATCCTCTGGTCTGCTTTCAAATGCTGCCTCAGATTCGAGAGGGTAGACAACAGAGTTTATTTCAATGCTTAGAGCGTGAGTATCGTCTCAGCGTACATGCTGTAAATGCAACGCATTCCACAGACTTTTACGAGGTGGGTTTATTTTCTGCCACCGTCTCAGAGAATTCTTTCAATTCGAATGAATGCTTGGCAGCATTAGGTGATTCTGTCAGCTTCTTTCTAGTTTGATTTTATGCTCTTTTTCAGTTGTATAAGTAGAGAGGTCTGAGATATGTTTCTTACATGTATGATAGGGTTGCCGAGCCCTTCTGGTGGACAAGGACAACAAGCCGCAGGTATCCTTCTAACTTGTGTGTCGGCCAATGAACTAGGATGGTGAATCAAATGCTCAGTTGATATCGTGTTCGTGTCCTGGGACACCTTATCTGGTCGCCCATCTTTTGAAGACATGGTGAATCTGAAAGCGTGTTTTGTTTTTGTATCTTCAACTTGGCTTTCGTTAGTTCATAACGTTGTTGTCAAGTACCTTTTCCAATTGTTGCACTGTTCTGCTAGGCACCGTACCACTTTTTGGAGGTGCTACAATGGTACACATAGCTTTCATATGTGCATAGATCATGACGATCTTTGCTTATGTGCATAACCTTTTTGAGGAACAAAGTGTGTGTGTTTGTTTTGTTTTGTTTTTTCTTTTTTTTTTTCTTTTTTTTTTTCTTTTTTTTTTTTTTCTTCCTGTTTCGATACGTGTGCTATTGCAGTGTTATAGCAGCTCAGTTTGTTAATTTTAGGAGTTTATCTTTTTACTCGTGGAACCGTCAACATAGATTTCGTCCTAAGCTATGAGTGCTGCCTTCTTGTCTCGCTTTTATTTGCGAATTGTCTTTTTCTTCACAAAGGTTTATCGTGGAAGTGTTCCTGATTGCCTTGTGCAGTGGAAGCCTCCGACTTTGGCGGAAGTCACTAAAGAGATGGTGGACGATATTTTCGCACCATTCCATCAAGGGGAGAAAGAATTGGAGCTTCCAGTTCAACAGCGTGAAGGCAGGTCAAGACCTCGTTCGCGACCTTGAAGCTTGATACTTGAAGCTTTCACATTCAGGGCTTATTGAATTGGGCATATTGGCAACTAGCTTCGGTGGAAGTTTTAACACTTCAATCTTTTTGAGCTTTGCCGATGCTTTGTGTACATGAGTTCAGTAAGACTTTTAGTGTCACATTTTCAGCTCATTTAGATTACATTATTGCACCTGAGTGAGGCACTTTATACAGTACCTGAAACATAATGGTCAACAAATCCGAGCATAAGACTTATAGCAGTGGCCAACCCTGTATGTTGGGAGCCTTATTTCTTCAAATCACCTCTGGATGAAACATAAGGAATGCTTCTTCAAAAACCATCCCTGTCATCTTTTTGTGTAGTTCTTTGCAGTATTCTAAGCCTGATAAGTAGTGGGTTCACAAATTTGTTGCAGAATCATCTACGCTCACATTTTGGCTTGGGAGACTTCATTTTGTTCATACTTGCACTGCTGCTCACTCTGGGTTGCGTATACACATATCAAAAGAAAAAACATTTAAAAATTTGTGTTTTTAAGAAATTAACCTAAAGCAAAGTTAATTGTTGTAAAGTAAGGTAACAACTTTGACTTTTATTTGTAAATTATTCTCAATATCTTCTAATCATGTATGTAGTTTCAGAAAAGTAACGGAACTATCATGATTTGAAGGTAATGTTTAATGGTAGGGCATCATTTTAATTTTAATTTTAGAACAAACATCTGTTTTCGTAATACTAACTTGAAAGTATCTAGAAAAGACTGTACTCTTGCAACAGTCTTTGATGAAAACAACCAGTCTTTTTAAATCCATAAAAATTTAAGATTCTGATTCAAAATTTTAAAACCAAATCAAACAAATAATGTGGTGCTTCATCCTTTTGGACAAAGAAAGAATACTATGCACTGGAGCCTCATCAGGAACAAGGGTTCATCGATCTGTACCGTGTCACATTAGTTGCTGTGGGTAGCTATATGTTTAACTACATACCTACCTAGCTCAAATCAATTGGTGCTCCTTCCTCCCCATATTGATTAAAACAATTATGTAGTTTGTTTGGGATAATACCATAAAATTAACTTAGTTAACCGTTTAAACATTTACATTATGAAATTTCAAGGCTTGATGGCTTCATAATTTATTGAGTTGAAAAATAGTGTTTGAATGGCTTTTTAATTACCTCATTTCCTAGTGTATTCTCTTCCAGTGCCTTTTACAAGTTGGGTAAAACGACACCAAGCTACTAATACAAAACACAATGTTTACATTTTATTTAGAATAGATATGCCAATGCATTCTATACTTAGATGATGTAGTGACATGTGGGCATTGTTGTAGTGAATTACAAGTTCTCTCTCCTTTAATATAATTTCTTCTTGAGCATCATAGTTGCATATGTGTGAAAATTGTGTAGTTAAGAATGCATCAATTAGAAGCACAACTTTGAATATGTTATCTCTATCGAGTACAAGTCCTCTTTTTTCTAGTGATCAGCTTTGAATTAATATTAGTTGTTTCTCCTTGTGAACAATGATATTGTTGTGGTGGCTTGATCTATTAGAGTTTTTTGTTTATTGTGTGTGCGGTTAAATCATATAAAAAGCTTCATATCATGATTATATATTGCTTGAATAATTCAAAAGTCCTTAAATAATATGTTACTATTTATCACTTTATCTTATTTTATTTTATGGAAGATTAGTGGTCTTATTCTACAAGAACGAACTAGTCTTAAATACATTCACTTAAGCAGGTGAGCAGATATGTCTATCATTTGTTGTAATTTTTCAATAAATAATTAATAAAAAATTTAATTATATCCAAGTTTTTTAATAATTTCAAATTCAATACCAATATTTTCATGATTTCAAGGATAAACAATTAGGATTATTTAAGATTGATGGTTTAGCTTTAAAATTACAGTTTCAATTTGTAGGACAGAAGATTATATGATTTACAAGATAATGTGGTTAAAAGTGTGTTTGATAAATATTTTTAAAATTCCAACAAAATTTAATATATAATTTTCTATAAGTAGTGAAAAGGTGAAATTGGATTTTTTTATTTTATTTTATTAATTCATCATGGAATTTTTTTTTGAATTATTCAAGTAATATAAAATCATGATATGGAGCTTTTTATATGGTTTAGTCATATCAAGCTCTTCAAGCACCATGGAAAAATATGACAAAATATTAAGTATAAAAGGTATTTTCAAAAATACTTGAAAAGGATCTGAAGTCTATATTAGAGCATTTAAAGTTTTATTGAAGTAAAAAACATTATTGAATAGAAACCAATGTGTTAATTTATGCAAGAAAATTGAAAATGTTACAAAGGTTTTTGACCACCTAATGACTTGTACCAATGGTTAATTGGAGTTTGGACTTTTTGTTGAATGAGTTATTTTTTATATCAAATAAATCTTATTTTCTAGTAGAAAATTGTGAAAAATAAAATTGGTATAAAGAAGCTATCTTCCAATTGAATAACAAAGAGACTTTTATGAAATTGATTTTTGACTTAAAATGTTGTAATGTAGCAAGTGATATGCTTTTAAAGCATTATTCCAACAAATTTGAAGAAATCAAATTTGCTACTTTTAATGTTACAACAAGTGATGTTAAATTTTTACATGAAAGGTTGATCTATATAAATGGAGAAGAAAATTTTGAATATTTATTGACTAGGAAATCATCTATTACAAAGATTAGAAGATCTACTTTGTAGAGAAGGTGAGAAATGGAATTATTTAAAACTATTATCAAACATAAAGAGTTTTGAAATCATAAAACACATTAATGATGGAAGTTACGAAATAATTTATGAAACAAAGAGGTTGGAAGTTTTGTGTGCAATTAAAAAGATGGATGTTGCATTTAACAAGTTTTTTATGAAAGAGGTGACCATTTTAACTAATTTGTACTATTCTAACTTAATAACATATTATTTTGCAATAAAAAGTAACACTAATGAAAATTGTAAATTTTCTAAGATAAAACTTAAAAAAGACTATTTGTACATAGGAATAGAATTGACAAACAAATTTAAATAACATGTTGCAAAAAAAAGATCAATTATTATATATATTTCTTATTGATATTATATATCAAATTACAAATAGAATGTGTGACTTGTATGACATGCATATTGCATATTGTAATTTGAAACCTCATAATATTTTGGTTAATATTATATAAAAAAATATGAATAAGTTTATTTGATATACTATTATGAAAGTGATGGATTTTGGAATATCTTAGATTGAAGTTGGAAACAATCCAAAAACCATAAAGAATACAGTTCCTTATAGTACTCTTGTATGTATGGCTTCCAAGGTGTTGGAAACCAAGTTTTAAATAATAACAATATATTTATTTATTTGCAATAGTCGATTGTAAGATTCTTTCAAAAAAAGATCAATTCTATGGTATTTGTAAGATAAAAGAAATATTATAAAGAATTAAAAAAGGTAAAAGACAAAACTTATCCTCAAATTGTAATGACTTGATTGAGCTTATTCAAGAATATTGGATGTTAAATCCTTTATATTTCTCAATTTTTTTGAATATTTGTAAAAGATTAACTTTAATATTTTTTTTAGTTGGATTTAAAGTGGCAAATGCACCATATTTTGGAGTATTAAAATAATTTTTTTTTATAAAAAATATAGAATTTCGACAAATACATAATAGATTATTATTAATAAGACTTATACTAAAAATTGAAGTCAATGTACATTGAATTAAATTTATTCATTGTATTTTATATTTGTACATACTCTTTTATGCTTTAATAATATTTAGATGCCTTTATATGAGCTCAAGTTAATAAGATTAAGTTAAAATATAGTGTATGCATTACATTTTTTTTTTTTTTTTTTTTTTTTTTTTTTTTGTTGATTTATAGTTAAATTTTCTAATTACAAGTTGATTTATTTGAAGAAGAAATATTTGGAAGAATGTAATATTTATCACATATACAAAAAAATATACAAACAAAGTGAAGATATTATATCTTGTTGGAATGGGTAGAATATACAAGACCACAATAGCAAAGACTATATTGGTTAATGTAAAAGAGATATATAATGCTTCATGCTTTGTTGAGCATATTGAAAGTGGTGGTGATTGCTATATAATTTCTTGCAATATTTTAGAATAATTTAAAATCAAAGAAAAACCAAAGAATACAAAAGAAGCTCATAAAATATTAAAAGCATTCTTTATAGAGAACAAAACCATCTTAGTCTTTGACAATGTAAAGAATCAAAGTCAAATTGAAGTTGTTGTGCCTATAGATGACATATTTTCTAGCAATGATACACATTGATTGCAACAACTCGAGATTCAAAAGCAATAAAGTATTGTAGTGAAGAAATTTGTGAAATAAATCTTGAAGAATTTGATGAAGCAATAAATATGAGGTTATTTATCACTCATTGTTGTGGCCAAGAAAATCTACCTAATCAACTTGTTGAGGTTGGAAAAAAAAATTGTAAAAACTTGTAATGGCCTACTATTGAGCCTAAAAGTTATGGAAGCATTTTTAAGAGAATAAGAGATTGAGGTGTGGGGAGCAAACTTTACAAAAGTTAAAAAGAAAAAGAGAGTTGGATTGAAATAAAAATAATAGTAACTACAAGATTTGAAAGATTTTAAGAGTAAGCTTTGACAATTTGAAAGTTGAAGAGAAGATTTGTTTTTGAACATATGTTGTTTTTTTTGTAGTGATGTGTGTCTACAAGGCATGTCAATAGAAAGAACATTGCAAATGTAGGCCAAAAGTCAAAAAAAAAATATTTGAACAAGATATAGAAGTTATGTTGAAATATTGATTTACCACTTAATGGAAAAAATAAACAAAGATGGAATTATTAGAATATATGATCAGCTACAAGACATGGGTAGAAATATTGTTGCAAAAGAAATATAAATATAAATATAATATACATAAATATAGACAAATATAGAATATAAATATATACAAATATAGAATTTGAATATAAAACCATTTCATGGGTTATCAAACATGATAATTTTATCTAACTATTACCTAAATAACATGTATAAAACTAATAATGGTATTAAAGAAGAATCAAAAATAAAAATTTGGAATTTTTTAGTTTTATAATATATTATTTATATTATGTTTATAAGATGTATGTTGATGTAAAGTTATTGTGTAAAGTAATTATGCAAATTTATTATAAATAGATTTGTATGTATATTAAATATATCACTAATGTAAAAATTCTAATTTAATTGTGTATTTAATTGTGTTGGTTTTTAGTTGGAAGAATTATTTTATAACATAAATGATAGGTTAAGTAAAATAAGAAGTGCTTCTTTTTCATCACTTCAATTTCTAAGTTATAATGTTAGTGTTTCACTACTCAATAATGTTATAAGGATACTAAACATATTTTTTTGTGTTAATAAAACATTCTCTTAGTTTAAAATATTTTCTACTAGATATACCATAAGGATATAACTTATGAAAAGAATTAGCAAACAAAGCATTGTAATTGCTACATGACACAAATATTTGAAAAAAGTTTGAGAGTCTAAATGTTTTATATGTCATATGGTTTATAGGACATTGCCACATAATTTTTTAGTAGATAGTATAAGTTGAGGCAAGAGTGAAGTATTCCTTATTCTTTTCAACATCTTTTTAGTGTTGTATTTTGATTCAAGATTTCTTAGTTGTTTTATATTTGGAAATATTTATTTTAATATTATTTCTATATATATATATATTTCGATCTTTATTTTCTCTCTTTTGGTAATATAAGAATATAATATTATTTTAATTTTTTTCTTATAGTTCATATCCTTTACAATGTATTATTAAATTTATGTAATTTGGATCCAATTATCTTTCAACTATATATCCAATATAGTCCAATCATGTTATAAATTAAAATCTAATAAAAATTTAAAATTTAAAATTTTATTAGATTTTAATTCCAAGACAACAATGCATTATTAATCGAATTCTTTAAGTCTGATTTTTTGTTGAATCATAAATACCTATTGAAGGCCATAACCTACTTATATTATTTATTTTTAAAGTTAAAAAAATCAAGTGAAATATCTGAATATCTGAATATCTGAATATTTTTATTTTTATTAATGGTTTTACTGGTTTTGAAGATATTTCTCCATTTTTATTTTGCACATTACCAGTTGTATTATTGTTTTTAAGAATCAACAAAAATGGGCATATGTTCACAAAATTGAATAATCGAATTGTTTAGATTGTTGTTTTTGTTTTATAATCAGGAATTGCTTATAATAAATTTAGATCACAATTGTGCATCAAAGAATAGAGGCACATTGTTGAAGCCTACAATCCTCAAACTTATATACATTCATTTGCAACATGAACACCACCTCAAAATGGCATTTATTTCAATTTTACAACCATAGAGATAGTTAGGTTACAATTATAAGTTACCCCAGTCAATCTATACCATTGGAAGAAAATCTCTAGGGGATAACTGAAATTCTGCCAATGGAATAGTTTGACTGGGGTAACTTATAATTGTAACCTAACTATCTTTATGGTTGTAAAATTGAAATAAATTCTCAACAAAAATTGTTAAGTAAAATTCCTTGACTTCAGGCGAAGTTCCGATTTTCACATCTTTTGCATACTTCCTCCATGTGTGAACTTCCCCAGAGACATGATCCAAGCAATTTGTATAAGATTATCGCTCCCATGTCTTCAGCAACATAAGTCAATAGGTCACAGGTACATTGCAAGTAGTCCTCACCAGGCAAAACACAGAACATTGTGATGCCAGCTCAGAGTGGAAACGTTGCATCTGCACATCTGTCGTTCGCATGAATTTGATCAGAATGTAGCAAATTATGGTATTTCCAGTTCTTTCCTGATTTCTAATATCAACAAGATAAGTGAGACGCAAAACATGTCTAATTAGCAAATTTAAAAGTTATGAAAATCATAGTTTCGAGAGTATATTCTTCTGACCTCCAAAACAACCATTTGTACATTTATGTCAAACACTGGAAGCTCCAAGTGTACCGCTACAATCCACAAATAAGACTGGATCCTAGGACATAAAACAATGACGCAACTTTATTAGAGCCACCTTTGGAGCAGCTAACTGAATTAACACGCACAAAATTAAAGAATTCTTTTCTTGCACGCAACGACGATGACTTGGCAACTTTGTCCTTTCCTTCATACGTCACAAAAAATAAAATTCAACTTGATATAGCAATTAGAACTTGAAGAAGATCGAACACACCTGTAAACCGAGGTCGTCCTCTGCTTTAGGTGAACCTTTTGGAGCTAATTAAAACTTCGGTAAGTCTTGATATTTGGCAGCATCCGGAAAACTTTAACCAAAAGTCATCTGTGGTGGAGACAAGAGAAGCCTCCTCCGTGTATTTCTATCAAGACTTTCTAGATCATGAGTTCCAAAATTCACAGACTGCTGGTTGGCTGGGTTACTCAAGTAGTCGTAATCAACGAAAGGGGAATAAGAGAGCTCTTTGGAGTCTACGATTTGTTGTGGCTCGAATGTAGAATTCCAGTCGTGTGTAGAAAATTGCTTCGATGGCCTTGAACCGCCGCTATCATGTGGGTCTGCATTTGATACCTCTCCAGCATTACCAACACTCGTGATCATGTCATAAGGGGCATGTTCCTTACCCTCCTGATACACGTTAATGCTGTGATTCTGCTTATCACTCAGGGGTGGTGCACCTTGATTTAGAATTCTTGGCGGTGTGCAGAAGTTCGAAGAGCTTCTAGATGCAGCTTGAAGCATGCTGATAGTCTCAAGCTGACTTTGCATGTCCTCTTCCCATTCAGCACGCAAACTTTGCTGCTCCTCCATACGGCTTAATAACTGCACCTTGTCAACTAACATTCCTTCAGATTCAGATGCTTCTGTTTCGTAGGCGTTTCTTAGATGACTCTCCAGCCCTTCTTCTATCTGTTCCATTAACCTTAACCGGGCAGACAGAGTGTTGAGAGCCTGCTGCACTTGAGTGATGAACCCAGATGATGGAGGAATGGCAAGTAAAGCATTTTCAGTTCGCTGCAAGCGACTGCGGCTGGCTTGTCTAGCCTGCATCAGACTGGTCATCACGTTCTCCAATCTCTTCCGACTTGGTACATCATTTTTTTCAATAATATGACGAAAGCTGCTGTTACCAGTCGTCTTCTCTGGCGTGTAGGAACCGCTTATGCTAGAGGTTGCGAATCCAAATGCTTCATCCCACTTCATGTTCGAAACTTTATGGTTGGCAACTCCGCGATGTGCTTGCTTGTTCCTGGTACACCCTTCACTGACATCGCATCTACCACCATTAATCTCCAATCCGTCTTTCATTGCTGAAAAGGAAAAATCTTGTTCAGCAATATGGTTTCTGCCGTTTGAGGTTCCTTCGGCAGTTTGATCCCAGCCGTAAGCTCCCCCCACCCGTTCCCTTTCTCTTCTCTTTTTAATTTCCTCCCAAGAAATTCGGCTCCCCGCATCCTTAACTAAGACTTCAACTTTCGCAGCATTTCGTAAGTTAACATTTGTATATTCCATCTGCTCTCTTTCCAACGCGTCTTGTAACAACTTCACTTGCACCCTCTCCTCTTTTAAGCTCGTTTTCTCCCTTCTAATTGCCTCTGCGGTAGAACTGAGCTCCCTCTCTCTATCATTGAGACTTGCCTCGCATTGACTTACATTTTGTTGCATCATGATAGAGTCCCATCGAGAAATATTACTGCATTCTACCTTGGCAAGCTCAGCAGCCATCGCCCTTTTGGCAGCCTGCTGAATCAATTCCATTGCTTTCGTTTTCTCCTGCTCTAGCATACTCGTCATTTTCTCCAGTTGCTTTGCTTCCAAAGCTAGCTTTTCTTCTTTAGCAGCCACGGATGCCTCTGCATTCTTCCGGTCTTGATCGAGACGCTTCCGCTCTTCTTCCAAAGATTCCCTCTCTCTTCACACGATACGTAATTTCAACCGTCAGAAATAAAAACTTGTATACAATGAGCTTTAGAGTTTTAGAGATTCGCCATCCCGTTCACACAAAAGCAGCTTCGAGAAGGCAGTTGGAAGCCCTTAGCTAACCTGGATGCATTTTGCGCCGTCATAGAAGCGTCTGCAACCATTTGTTTTGTTGCCTTCAGTTGTGCTGTTAGAGTCAGCTTGACTTCCTCAACTGCTTTCCTTGTTTCTTCCTGAACAAATAGGTAAAACACCTTCAGCGAGATGCTCCGTAACAAGTTTACGAGAAATTTCTTCACACAAATGAAAAATGAAGATGCACTTCATTTTCTAGCAGCATAACCAGTTGATACAGTTCAACATATGCTTCCCACGTTCCGCATTTAAATAATTACAAAGTTAATTTACACCGTAATGGGATAAAAGCTGAAAACATCAAACTAGTCAAATCTGCATGTCAAATGAATGGAAAAAGCTCGGCAACCCAGTTCATTGAAAAAATTTCATCTGTACCAGATTCATGATGTAGAAGACCACGTTTCGAGACATCAATTAGGAGTTCACAGTAGAAAGGATGGGATTGCATACTAAATCCTGCTGTTGTACTTTCAGATCAGCTCTTTCCTGGGAAATCCTATCAGCTTCCTTCTGAAATGCTTCTTCCATTTGTTTTACGCGATCTTCCATGCATTCATCCATTTGGTTAACCCAGACTTGCTCACCCCTGAAATCCTTGGAAACTTGTTGGCAACCGAGCAGAACCTCCTTCTTTTCTGGTTTGCTCATCCGGTGCGCCACATCAGCCTGCACGTAAATGATTGATTAAACAGCCGTATAAACATCTGAGGGATAAATATGAAACAAACGAAAACTAAGGTTTCAGATGTAACTAGGTTATGCTTCGTGAAAGAGTTACAATATTGAAAAATTAAGTCAAATATGAGTAATTCAAATTCGAAGCTAACTTCCAAGCGACTTGCGTCATTATTCCCCCAAAGTAATCCAGAGTTTCCAAGCACTGAGGAACCATGAGTTTCAAAGCACTTACATTCTGGACATCCTTAAGTGCGTGATTACTCCAAAACGTCGTTACTTACCCTCAAGATTGTGGATTCAATTTCACCTCTGAGCAAAATTGAAGGGAAACTCACCAAGTCTTTAATGCTAGAAAGTCGTGTACCCGACATTTGAGCGTGGTATTTATATTCAGCAGATCCTTCTACTACAATATGATATTCACGATGCTTCTCTTGATTCCCCCTCGTATAGTATCCTATTTCTGGGTCAGTTACCTTTCTTTCAGCCAGCTCTTGCTCTTTAAGCTTCAGTCTAGCTTCTCTCTCCTCTACAATAGTTGCCATTGCCTCTGCTTCGTTACGCTTCTCCTCTACATATCGCCGCTGGTCTTCAAGCTCAGCACGCGCTCCGTGCAATTGCTGCCGCAGTAATTGGGCATCTTTCTCGACTTGATCTTTGTGGGCTTTGGTATCTTGCTCCATTACAAGTAAGGACGTCTCCTTTTCAATTGATTTTGCTTCACGGGCTTCCAAGGCAGCCTGTCGGACACGAAGCACCTCCAACGTCTCCGCCCGCTGCCATTTCAACCCCTTCGACCAATTCCTCAGTGCTTTGAAACTCATTGTCCTTCAAAGAATTTTATTTAAAAAAGAAGAATCATTTATTCCTAAGATACAGTGGCTCAAAAATTTAATATTCCGAGCTATATTCCAAAGTTTAAATGGAAATCCACCCTGGACTTACCTGTCTTTTATTCTGGTCTTTTTCTATATCCAACTGCCATTGAACCTTATGAGTTTCATCTGTTTTCTGAATTTCCATTTTTGCACTGTTTAGTGCCTCTCTCTCTGCAGCCAGTCTTTCCCATCCTGGACGAAACGCGAAAACTGTGAGATATTTAAAAGGTTACAGATGTGGAAGAACTCAATGCTTCGAACGTATTGCGAGGTCATTCGGCAATGATCGATGGCTTTTCAAAAGTTTCGAATCAATTAGTTGAATTATCTAAACGGGTGATCCCTCTGATCCAAAATGGCTGGTTGAATGGCATATTCAGACCTTTCTCAAGTTCTTCAGACTTCGTTTCAAACTCTACAGCCCTCTGCAACCGCTCCTTCACCTGCATTTCCAGTTTGGAAATAGTCTGTCCATGCTCTTCCAAGCTTTTTGCTTTCGTTCTTAAATCTGTTTCAAAGTCTGTTAGCTCCCGTTCTTTACTCAGCAGCTGTTCCCGTTTTTCTTCAATCATAACCTCATCGCGTGTGCGATTGCGATTAATTTCCTCCACAGAAGCTGTCTCCTCTTTCAGTTTGGCAGCATGCTGCTCCACCTCCGCAATCATCTTCTCTAAATCTTTCCTCTCACTTACCAGTCTAGCTTCCACATCCTGCATTTAATAGGATACACCTTCAAGATGAATATATCTCAACGTATTTATAAATAGTTAATAGATGTGTCTGCGCATAAATATGTACATGCATATTATAATGTAGACAGTTGAAGAGCTGTTTCTCCACGTACACGCAATTCATTTTCACTGTCAGTGACCGCCTGCTCACGACTTTTCAGATTCTTTTCCTTAGTTGCAGCTTCTGCAGCCATCTTCTTAAGCCCATTTTGAATCGCGACCAGTTTTGATTCCTACACCCGATAGAGAGACCTCTTAAAATAATTGCAGATGATAGTCAAAATATTCTTCAGCTGGCGTTTGTGCAGGCAAGTCTGTCATATCGAGATATATGGCTGGAAAGTAGAAATTTACATCGAGACTGTTTCATTCATTTGCTTCACATTTTCGTGCAGGAAATGATGCTCTATCTGAAATTAAAATCATACAAGTGCTTTCACTGTAGCTATAGACAGACATAACGTTATCATTCATACCTGAATCAAAAATTCACTTTCTCGGCGCTTCAGGACCTCTTGATGTGTAGCTAGCTTGTCGGCAAGTCCCTCAAGCTTAGTTTTAGACGTTTCGACTTTATGGCGCTGGCGCTCGAGTCTATTAGATGCTTGATCTAGTTCCGCAACACGATCTATAATTTGAGAGCCAGCTTTTTCAATATCCATTTGGAGCTTTTTCTGTTCACAAGTATCAAACGTAAATTTACGGATCATTCAAAGCATATGAACCAAAACCAGAGTGCAGAACATAATCATTGTATCCTAGTTCTTACGATGTTCAAACCCAAGTTGTCATGGGAAAAAATGCAGACTAACAATGTCCCGACTGTAAATTTTCAGAAAAACGATGAGAACAAATAATGACGAAGTGATTGAGTTGAGAACCTAGACTCTTGCAACGATGGATAAAGTATAAAGACAAATTCTGCTTTTAAAATAAAAAGAAAAGAATTAATGGCTAAAGCAAAATCTAATCCGCAAAATAACTGTGGAGACTGATGACCACCTAACAAGAAAAGACAACCTCTATTTCAATGTAGAAATCTGTCTAACAAAATGTTCAAATAGATAAAAAGAAGTAATCTCTTCCTTATGTTCGGGAAGTATCAAATTGAAGACAAAAAGATGCGTAAGTCAAGATCAACAATGCTCCTCCTGACAGGGACAATTTTCTTATCAATCACAAGTTTTTAGCCCTTTTCGGCCTGAAAAGTTTCAACTTTGTGTGAGACACTATTCCATCGATGTACCAACGTGAAAACAAATAGTTTTATTAATAAATGTGAAGAAATTTGATAATCATACCAGCTCTTTGATTTGAGCAGTCAACTCCTCCTTTCCCTTTACGAAGCTGTCAATCCTGGTGTGCAGAGTTTCTTCTGCTTCTCGTTGCCAGATTTTCAACTCCTGCTTCTTTGCACGAACTTCTTCAAACTCGTTTTTGACTTCACGCTTTGCCAACTCTAAATCTTCCACTTGACTATGATACTCGGTGGCATGCTTTCGAACCTGGTCAAGGATGAAATCAGTTAAAACTTATGGATGAATTTTCACATCCGACTTCAAGGTTCACTTACTGGACTAACAGGTTCTAACTGGAGCGGCACGATGAACAACTTAAAACGTCACAGACTTACTTCTTTGAGGTGATCGTCGTGCTTAGCCTGTAAATCTCTCTCGGCATTCCAAGCTCGAGCTTCCATCTCTGCAAGGCGTTTAATGTCCTCCAGTGTAACTCTTCTCTCTTCAGTCAGTCTCTCCAAATCATTATTAATTTCCTCCTCTTTGGCATCCAAGATTCTGTTTCGTTTTGACAGGCTCTCCTGCTTGGCTTTCAGTTCTAGGCTCCAAGATTCTTGTTCCTGCACCAATTTTGCATGTAATGCCTGCCACAGGAGATAGTGACATGATCAGTACCCAACCATTTTTTTGTTATGATTGCAGAGATGTCAGATTTATTCTTTTACTTGTGCGCGTTTCGGATAAGGTAGGCAAGGCAATTCCGATAGGTATTTTGAAATCCGACAGCTGATTACTTCACCTCAGAGTGCTCCTGCTCTTCCCTCGCTTGATTCTCAATTTCAAGGAGCTTTTTCTGCTGCCCTTGTAGCTCTTTTTCTTTAATGCGTAATCTATCATCCCACTGTTTCAAACGCTCCTCAACTGATTTCAAATACTCTGTAGATTCCCGCCGTTCCTGAGCCGTTCGAGCCCACGCCTCCTCAGCGCTTTTCTTTGAGCTGTGTGCTTCAGCTATTGCCTCCTCTGCCTCTTTTAAACGAACTTTACCTTTCCCCAAGCTGGCCATCATCTCTCGTACTTTGAACCGCTCTTGTTCCATCTGCCTCTGAAGTTCACTAAGCAGCTTTTCCCTTTCATTGAGATTATTTGTCATCTCTTCTGCAGAAGCAACCTTGTGTTCCAATTCTTTCTCAAGTTGATGGAGAGACATTTCTTTAGCATTTATTTTACCCTCAGTTTCTTGAAGAGTAAACAAGAGTTTCTCTTTCCTCTTCTCATCAACAGCTCTATCTTTCTCCAGCTGTTCTGCTTTGGTGTTTAACTCCTCCTGCAGCTTCTTCATAACAGAGATTTTAGAGTCAGCCTCTCGCTCCCTCCCTACAGCCTGCCTCAACTTCTCCTGGACTTTGTGCTTCTCTCGATTAATAAGCTCTTGGTCATCCTGTAACCTTTGAGACGTAACTCTCAACTCTTCTTGAAGGGAAGAAATTTCAAGGGCTCTTCCGTCTATGTTCGACTCATGAACAAAGAGGTCAGCTGCTTTCTTCTGCACTTCTGCCAAGGACGTGGCAGCTTCTCTTTCACACTCTGCCACGGCCTGTCGGCAAAGTCATGAACATAAAAGGTGACAAACATTAGCACACTTTGCATAACCTACAATACTACAGGTTAATTATGTTAAGTTTTGCTTGAGAGGTGAAAAGCCAGCACTGTACATGACATGTGCAACAAAAGCATCCATCAATCTGATGTAGTAGGTAAAATGTCAAAGCAATATCTCCAAGTTCACTGGGCAGGGATACGGCGAACAGCAGTAAAAGAAGAGGAATAAACACTATTTCTCATTCCTCATTTGCACAAATGAATATTTGAAGTAGAGTGCGTATTTCACTAGTTCTGCCAATTATGCAAGAAAATCAACTGATTGTTTTCATAGGTCTACAAGAAGGTACCTTGCGACGCTCTTGAAGGTGCGTCACCCAGAGGATAAGATTATCACGTTCTCTTGCAAGCTTCACCCGTTCCTCGTCCATACAGGCGGCCTGCTCGTCAGCACATTTCATCATATCTTCAGATCGAGCACATTGTTCGTTAGCAGCTTCCTTAGCTTTGGCTATCTCTTTGGCCATTTTGGCCATTCGCACTCCCTCTCTCTCCAATATAGTAGCCCAGTTCTGAAGATGGGTCTCGCGGCTCATATAACTAACTAGGCGCTCACAGATACCAACCACTGTAGAGCACCACTCTTCGCACTTTCCCTCTGCGATCAGGAAAGAGATGCCATCGAAAGTAGCACTTCTAGTATCTTTCTGTGACGTCTCTGGTTCAAAGCCAAAAGAATGATCCCCTAGCATGCTTTCAAAGTCAATTGATTCCTTGAGTTCTAGCCAAGTGGTTTGGATCATTCTCTCCTTCTGCTCCAAATGCCAAAGCACGTCCTTCAGTCCTGTGTAAAGCTTATTTATTACTGTTCTCCCTGTTTCTATCGACTTCACCGATTCTCCAAAATCGCTCTTCTGCTTCTGTAGATTGACACAATGCTCACTTGTAAATACATTCTAACGTCTAAAACATGCACTCCCAAAATCGTAAATGAAGATCATCCCCGATCACACTTGTCAACAACTCGAGACATATCTCTTACATGCAGTGAAATAGAAATACAGTGTAAAATGCACAATTCTCAAGCAAAGAGTTTAGTACTGCCTGGTGGCATGAAATCTGTGGGAACACTACTGACATAAGAATCAGAGGAAATATCGGTCACAAATAACTAAAAAAAAATTAGGTGAGGTACTAGGTGGGACACCTCTGATTCTCGTTGCACTTCCAGTTCCCTCTGACGCAAATTAGCTTCGCATCTGCTAACTGCAAGCCGAGCTTGTGAAACGCTATGCTGCTCCTCCAACACCTTTTCCTCAGCAATCCGAAGCGCAGCCTCCCGTTTAGACAATCGTAATTCCCAATTAATCTGCACGGCATGCTGCCCTTTCAAACTTTAAGAAATGACACAATATGTTTATGGCATATTCAAAGCTAAGAAATATGAGGATCCACAGAACTGGATTGAATAGCATTACCTGTTTAGCTAATGATCTCTTATTAAATGATTACTTTCCCACAAAGTGATCATAAGTCCAATTTGAAGGGATTGGATTTCAGAGCTCTGAGGAAGTTGAGATTTTGCTACAAATTTACATTGCCCTGCTAAATGCCGTCGAGCTCCAGAAGCATTACATGCCAAGTTTATCGAATCAAACATATTTTTGAAGTTAGAGACAAACCCTGCCAAGATTCTGTCCCAGCTTTACATTCTCCGGCTCAAAAATATCCTTCTTGTCAACCTGAACTTCGAGCTTCAACATGCTCCCGTTCATCGAAGGCGACTCGTTTACATTTTTTGATGACATGTCGTTTGATAAATTCTTTGCATCCTCCAAGTTTAGCTGCAAGCATAAATAACGCAGGGATTATTGGAACACACATGATAGAGTTCTCCAGAGTTGGTTTTCATGATTTCTGTCGACGGTGTCGATCAACAATTACCAAGCAGGTTTTATTCAGTTGATAAGCCCAAGCTGTGGTGGTAATGAACAGCTAAAACGAGTTAGCGGGTCCTGCTTGATACAGGGAAGAGAAGATACACGAAAACCGCTCTAAACTCCAGGTCGGTCCCAAAATTTGGCACAGTGGATCCGCCACTCTGAACCAACCTAGATTTCAGGGAAAATTTAGTTCTCTTTGTTGAACATGTATGATACACAGGCATTCTACCCTCTAAGAAATATTATTTTCACTCTTCAGAGTTCCGATAATGTAACACCTAAAAAGCACGAAATAAACTTCAGAATTTTGAAAGGCAGGCCCAACCTCAGAAGAGGTTCTGTCCAGCCTGAGAGCTCCTGCGGCTAATACACCTCGTTCTGCAAGAATTCGCCAAGATATATTTCTGTACAACAAACAATGACGATGCAGATGCGCGAAACATCATTTGACAGAACGTTTCTAGCTTGAATGATGCGGATACTTTGAATTGATTCATTTTATCATGACCAACGAAAGGATTAGTGAAAACAGAATGGACCAGCACACCTGTCTAGAGCTCCAAATTCTAACGGGTTTAAGTGCAAATTTGCCCCAGGAACTGGTATGTGAGGAGCACTTGGAGGAGACCTTGATTGATCAATATGTGGATCATTCGATTCTTCTGAATGTTTTAAAGATGATAGATGTGACTCAGGAGGTCCTTTTCCGGAGGAATAGGTTGCAGGATCTGATGATGAAGGATATGCAATGGGATGAAGACTCTCGATCATTTCGGCGTCACAATCATGCATATCATCTCCGGTTGAAAACTTCGTCGGTGAAGTGGACTGGTCTGGACATTCCAGCCCCAAAATTTTTGGTAGCTTGAGACTGGTTCTGAGCTCTCTTCTAAACTCATTCTTCTTGCGCAAACTTTGTCGAGAATTTATTGATGCTGCACAGCTCACATACTTCTCATTTCCAAGAGTTGGGGTCTTGGATATACTTTGAACTACAGGACCATGGGGAGGTTTGTCACAAAAGAAAGTGGGCACTGTTGCTCTTGAGTACATAGTTTCACTCGAGGGTGATACTTGCCCATCTTTGGATGTCTTTCCAGAGTTTTGACAAGAACTAGCCATGGATGCCGACGGGGAAATTTGAGATGACGAGTTGTCATCCTTAGCAATCGATTGATCTCTGGGGGAGGTGGCTACATTACCAACTTTTCTTTGACGAAAATAGGATAAAATTGGTCTATCAGGATTTGTCGTTGACCCAGCATGAGGAACACCGGCCCTGCTCGAGGATGATGGCGTCCTCTCGCCAGTGGTTTGTGAAGGCTTGGCTGTTGTATGATTCGTAAACAACGGATTGGAGTAAGAGGAAGAAGCACATGAGACCGCATTCTTCTGCGAATGATTGCGAGGTGAGCTCGCCGTTGGTTTCTGTAAGTTACCCTTATCGCCTTCCAATTTTGAAGACTTTTTCTGAAAGCTCATCCACTGACATACGAAACAAGACATAGGAGGATTACGCTTCCATCTGAAATTCTACGAAATTTTATCTTATACACATTGAAAGAATAATAATGAATAAAAAAATGATTATAATAAAAATAACGAAAAAATAACAAAACTATCGAATTTCTCGTAGAAGTGTCGAATATGGCAACAGTGTTCAAATGGCATGAAACTGTGACTGGTGGTATTTAATCACTTGCAGCAAAAGCAGCTCATTTGCAATCTAAATATTTCCTACATCGGTGATTTTCACGTCACCAACTCACTTCAATAAAATTGTTACAATAATTCTATGTAACAAGACGTGTTGAGGTGGCCTTTACCTGGGTCTCAAGCTGCTCGAAACGCCTTGCGATGTCACCTGCAACAGACATGTCCTGTGCAAGTGATGTTGCGCAACTTTCAACTTGCACAGATCTCCCACAATCGCCCATTTTGTGACGAAGTCAACATACGAATGTGCTGGAATACGATTTTCCAAATGAAAACAAGCACTAGATCAGAATCGTTAAGTGTATGTTCAACAGAGTTAACTACTCACAGAATATGACACTAAAAATTAGTCGCTCTGGAAGAAGTATACCATACCATATGTATTGCACTCTGGGCAAGAACGTCAAAACCAAAGTAGGAAAATAAGCAATCCTCTTCTGACATAAATGCGCATGCCATCTTGAATGAATTGTACGAGAAAAATTCTTAGGACAAGAAAGAGCCCCATGCATACATTCAAAGACTTATTATGGGAGACCCAATCTCAGAGCGACAGCATTGTTGGAAATCAACATTTGCTCAGTACTTCCAACGCTAATGGGACAATTCTGTAAATTCCATTTTCTGCTAACTAAAACCATTCTTAGAACACTCAAACATCCTATGATTGCCAGAAGGTAGCAAAAATGATTCTGTAATTAACTGTGAATTATAACGGAAAGATATTACGAAAAGCATAATCTGTTTGCAAGTTAACCAAAGTAACATCATAAAACTCATAAAACTCATAAAACTCAACTTTCAGAAACTAAATAACCAATACTAAATGACCAACCAATTCAACAAAACGACGGCATACCTCCAACAACTTCCCACGCCGAAACTAACTTTTCCTCCTCCCCCTCCTCCCGAAAAGTAATCAAACATAACCCTTACCCTCGCCATCTTTAGGGCTGCACTAAGTGTCCCCGCAAGAAGATCCGGCTAAGGGATCCAAATTCGAGCACCAATCTCAAGCCATGAAATCGGCTCCTGCTGGACACAATTCTCCACCAAAAACTACGCGAAGGATCGCAATCGCCTCCTCTCTTACCCCTGCATGCCACCCGGAGCACGAATCGAACGTCCAGCACGACGTGCGACCGTAATTGCGAGAGCAAGGGCGCCGGGGAGAGCACACGACGGAGGGGGTCCTGAACTCGTCAACCAATTCAGCAGACAGTTTCTTGGCCCTCCTCGGAAAACTTAGAATCCTCATCCAAATCAACATTCATTCGTTTGCCTTTCTTCATCCATGATCAGTGTCGAGCCTCCCTGCCCTGCTCTAAAAAAAGTGATCTCATCCTCGTATCGCATTCGGCAGTCTTCAAACAAATTGATGATTTGGTAGATTCGCAAAGATAGCGGTATGGTTACATTTTGGGTGAGGGGGTGAATCGCGGGTGTCATGTGGATGGGGAGAGGCAAGGTGACGGTTACGGTTGCGGGTGGAACCCCCCTTCTTCCCCCTCCCAGCGACCTCCCGACCCGTTCCCAGTATCAACCTGGCCTCGGGATTGCTTCAAACCCCTCCCTTGAACCCGTCATCCTGGAGAGGCTCATGTGTCAATTTTTCTCATTTGAATATCTTCATTTAGTTCAAAATTCTAGCTTTATGCAAAGTGAGCTGATGGGTAACAAAAAAAAAAAAAAAAAAAATCAAAACAAACAAACAAACAAACAAAGTCAAAAAAGAAATTCTTCGTCGTGGTATCATCCTCACAGATTTACTAAATTGAGGTGCAGATTCTACAAAGCAAAATGGGAACGTGAATGTGTGTAGCAGAAACATAAAATAAACTCTGAAAGGATTTGGATGAGTAATTTAGGACAAATCTAAATGTTGCAATTGAGCTCTGGTAAAAGAATTTGATCTGTTGTAGAATTTCACTTTGCAGCCATCCGTTTTACTACTTGTGTTGGATAGATTGATGATGTATGCGTAAAGATAACTTCAAATTTCCACGTCTGCATGAATTTTTGAAAATCGGTGAAGCTGCATTTTCATCTTCACTGTTTTTTCGGTTCCATGGTGAAATATCAATAATTGCAGGAACAAGTCCATGATTCTAAAATCCATTTTCCAGTTCTAGAATAATAGGTTTCAGGAGTTTGATTTCAATTTCAATACCAGGATTTTCCAATCATATCAGATAACAATATAAAGTTATCTGTATTCTTAAACAAAAAATAGACATGTAGATGGCATAGACCTGAAAATAATTTGAAAAGAGAAAGTGCAATTTCAAATCGTTTTATCTTATCATGTATTTGACTCTCAAAATTTGTATGTACGCATACTATAATCATCTCTTCTTACGAAGTACTTTTGATAAACATATGAATTTTACAACGCAAAACACTGGGTTGAAGTCGCAGGTATGTTCCAAGAGCTAAGCATATAGTCATTCTTATTACGAGTGCTAGTATGGTCACATCATTTCACATCGGCATTCCTATCCAATTGTATTTTGATCTTATCAGAAGTTAAAAGAGTCTTCAGTCCCACGTGAACAATTCTCTGCTCCTTGCTACCGTAGTTTCTGACCCATTCCATGCTAAGTCCCCTGCGTGACTGACTGTCTCAGAAACGTGAACTTCACGAAAGTGTGCACCGTTGAAGCTCTCAGAACAGGCACAGAACTGAAGACAAGCAAGTAATGTGGGTTAAATGTTTCCCAACGATTAATTCTGACACTGGACGGACTAACCTCCTTCAAACAATGATAGATACACTCGGTAATAACTCGAATACACCATCAATAAGCTTTAGTAAGTAGTTGAGTCAGCACATCAAGGTTATTCATATGAACGACTTAACACAACAAGCACTAGATGTGCTGGCTCCAAAGCATGTGAATCCTACTTAAACTCAATGAAGTTCAGACAAACTTTCAAACGTATGAGGTAAGGAATAATCAAACTTGTCTGCTACTCCACATCATTTCTAAGGCCTACTACTTTTCAAGTTTAGTTTTGTCTAACTTCACGGCATGGCAAAGTCAACAAATACTAATTGTCATAAGCACCATCTGCAGCAGAAGTATCCATGTCATTAAGACCCAAATCCTCGTTTTGCTCAAATGTACGTTCATATTCTTCCGCTGCAAAATGTTCCACTCCATATAATTAATTTTTCATGCATCGTGTATAATTAACACCCAAAATGGACCCATCAAGCACCCCACATCATCATCGTTATAGAGTCCTTACATAACAGGAAAAAGCCAGATGGCATCCATAAAATGTTGAGAAAGAAGGCAGATACGCACATGATAATTGTGAATCAGCTTCGAAGTCATCGGTTGCTGGTGCTATGAAAGAGTTTGCGAGAGCATCATCCAAAATTAGTGTAAACTCTTCTTCCACTTTCAATAACTGCAACCACAAAAAGTAAGAGTAATGAAGACCAAAACAATGCAAGGCACTGATGACGTACTAAAAGGTTCCTATAAAACAGTTGTTAATAGTAATTATGAGAAACTAGTTATCCATTAGGCATAATAAAGGCTGAATTCAATAAAGAAATACAGAGTTGAAAACACTCAAGTCTATAGCAATTACACTGCGTTATATAATTAGTTTAGCATGAAAAATCATGTGTTGTACCTCTATTCAATCCACAAAAAATGAATAAATAGTGTGCAAAAATCTAACTATAATCAGGCCTAGTATCACTACTGATATTCAAAGAGTCCATGACTGACGTCAACACACATGATGCGTGCATGCATGAAGTCGAACAATGTGGTCTTACATGCAGAGTTCACAAGACTAAGTAACCAAAAAAATGCTGCCGAGATAATTAAACAGCTGCAATGTTATCAACAGAGCTTCATAGAAATCTTATTCAGATTTGATAGACATTGTATGAGAAACCTCTTACTTTACCTTCTGCAAATGAGAATCAAACTCTTGCCATCTATTCTTCTTCCATGCTTCTGCACTGTCACCAATGCTAAACCCATGCACCCGCTTCAAACCTGCATTTCATAAACACTAATTGTGACCATGCACATGACAACAATTGCAACCAAAATTGCTAACGAAGGTTACTGGAATCATTTTTAGTTTTCTCCATCGCCACCTAATTAAATAATAAGTGACAACTTACTTTCACTAATGTTTGACAACAGGCCCTCTACAGTAGTAACCAGGCCACCCAGAGTCCCTGGCGAGAGCTGCAACTCCAGTTCTGGAATCTCCACGCTAGCAGTATCCGACTGAAATATGCGGTGACATTCATAATTTGAAACACACTGAATCAGAGGTTGCTGTCACTAAATTGCATCTGAAGGATCCCGTTTCGAAACCATACCCTACTAACCATTCCCTACGAACTCCAACAAAATGTAGAAAATAGAAAATATAAATATACATTTAAATACAAATCATTGTGGTCATGTCCTGTGGTGAAACAGAATTTTGACCATCAGAACCTCCCGAAATCCACATTTGATTAAGTTGTCACAACATCTAGTGAAAAATTTAAGAGCTTTCACAACGTCCTTCAGCGCCAGATTACAAAGCAACTGTTCATTTTCAGGCGTATCATAAAAGCAACAAAAGAAAAATGAAACACTGCGTATCCTGAATTGTTTATAAAGTGTTTTAGCATGAGGAAGCTGCTCACCTTAATAACATCCCTAGAAAGATCCCTCACAGATTTGATAACGAGTCTAATTTTCTTTCCTTTCTCTGGAATTCTCCCACCGGGTTTTAACTGAACAATTTTACACCCAATGAAGAGATGTTAAGACTATAATTTTTGAGCTGAAAATTGACAAATCCCCATAAACTTATGTCAAAACAAATTTTAACACTTATAGAAAGGAGACTATTCGTAAGCTAATTACGCACTTAATGTCCAACAATGTGGAGTATATGACAATGATACATCATTGCTCCAAAATATTTCAGTAATTGGAAGTCATCAAACGAGATTATGGTTGTGTTAGAATCGAAGAAATGGTTTAGATAGGAAGAGCTGAACTTGCCTCCGAATTCTTGTATCCGCATACATCACAACTCGAGGCCATAACAATGACCTCCTTAAAGTAAGGTATATCTTTATTACAAAGTCAAGGATGAACAGCTGTACTCATAACGTTCACAACCCATCCTTCATTATTTATTATTTAAAATGAGGAAGGGCTTAGAGACACATGATTTTAAAATCAAAGACTTCAGCCTTACGGTGAACATGAAGATGAAGTGGAAAGGTTTGATATGGGAAAGAACTATGCGAAATTCAAAAACAGGAAAATACACAAAGTGTGGATACTGGTTACAAACATGCGAGTTTCTGCCTTAACTCCGCATGCTCCGCAGGTAGATGGAAACGTCATCACCTGAAAATAACAACACACGGATTCATTGGGCTCGTAGGTGTCCAAATGCAACGTTTCAGAGCAGGCAAACCTTTGAGGAATAACTAAAAGGATTAGATCAACGCAATGAGAAATGATGAGATGTAGAGAAACAATACTAACCTCCTCAGGTGCTGAGTATTTAAATAGTGCCTCTGCGATTTCAGGAGAGTTCCCATGGGCGATTGCCTGGTGTGCTGCTATCGCGCCCACAGAACCATGAGGAAGCCTAGTTGTACCTGCAGGTGCATACTTCACCCTTTTATGATCACTAGCTGCTGCCCTAGCCTCTGGAATAGCTTCACTGGGCTCTGTAGAAGACGTGGACTGGGCAAGAAAACCTAATGCTTCTTGTTGTTCTGAAGTGCGGTCGTAGTATTCAGTTGACAACAAGGGGTCTGAATTAGGTGCGTACCTGCAAGAAGAACACGCAAGGCTTCCTTAATGCACTTATCACTTCATGTCACAAAAACCACACTTACTGGTTAACTTTTCAAGAATAAACCACACAGGTCCCCCTAACTTTTGTCAGAAAAGCCTTCAGAACTCAGCAATGAAGATTTGAAGAGTTACAAGAGTAGAAACATGCATACGGATTCTCAATGTAGCTGTTGCCTGAAGGATCATCAATCACAAACGTGAAGGCTTGTTCTCCTTTGGCACATGCATTCAGCTTCATCAGAAAAGCATCAATTGCTTCTGCTATTGAGGGGTCCGCTTTCTGCAGAGGCAAAATATCATAAGAAAAGATAAAGTAACAGTAGGAGCTCCACTGAGATGACGGATTGGTTCACATGTCAGGATTACTACAAAACACATAGACAACATAATATACCCTGCGCTCTTCTTGTAGAGTTCGAAGCTCATCCACGGCTTTTGATAAGACTCCTTCAATCTGCCACATATCGAATTGCAGAGTAAGATCACCTGCTAAGCAGCATACTGAGTACACACGTATACATGCAGCAATAAGATCCACAAAGGCGTCAAGACACCTAATGAATACAAAATTTAAAATGGAAGACTAATACAAAGAATGTAATTTGGAAAGTGATGATTTATGCGGCACACTGAAGCAAGAACTTAAGGTATATAAGAAAGTCTAAACCTCCCTATCATCATCACATTATGTTCTAGGGATTCGTGTAGCTCAAGAAGTATCTGTATCTTGTTTAGCTTGAATCTCTAATACCACATCAGCTTCGAAGCTGATTAACTCAAAAAGAATGAGATAATTGTTTTCTGAAGAACGGAAGTCGATTAAAAAACAATTTTAAAATAACCTAAAAAAAAATGGTTAACTAACCGTCGAGAGTGTCCCGCGTTGTGATTGTGGCGGAACCTCAAACTCAAGCTCCGGCACCTGCACAAAAGAAGATCATTTCATACTTCTCAAAACAAATCTCCATTCAACAGCAGAACAAGGTTCAAAGGTAGTGAAGAAGAAAAATGTCAGAATCCAAAAAAAAGATTGCTTTAACTTGTCCTTCAGGCAAAAGTAGGGCACCTTTATGGTAGCAACGTCGGACTTCACAACCTGCCTATTCAAGACCTGCACAATAACAATACAAGCAACCCATGAAACAATTTATTTCGAATATTTAACACTGATTTCAGAGAGTATGCATATGTGAATAAAACTATGTAAGAGTTTAAGTTCAAAAAAAAAAGGTAGTAGGTTAACACAATGCATCATCAAGTCATTAGATGAGAGATACTATGCGCATGCTACTGTTGCAAAGTCTAAAGCCAGGGTCTGTAATACTATTCAACTCGTCCACTCATTAACAAAAACCTAAGGTCACTTCCTCTACAGTGCGAAGGGCAACCTCTGGTTCTCCTGCTGGAACTGTCAGTGTAAAAGCACACCCCTGCGGTTGCAATTGGCCAGCGAACTGAACTTCGTTATTCCTGCAGCATAACCAAAGCGTAAAAAACGTCAATTATACTCCCGGCCACAATCTCTTGCAAAGCTCAGCATGACTTCCTTGAGGCTTGACCCAACTTAAAATCGTTTACCCTGTCCATGACGAATGCAGAAGAAAAAGGTCCAGTCTAGAAATCAAAAATTAACCTTTCGTTGCAGTGCGGACATTCAAAGGCCATCAAGACTACCTGCGCATCGTTCAAAGTAATCAATTCAGCCAATCACCGACCGAAAGTTGAATTGAAATTAATCTAAGCGATAAATCAGATAACCAGCATCCTACCAGAAGAATTTATTCTACTTGATTGATTGCAGGATTAAACAGCCTATACAGAAGTAGAGCATACAAGCAATTGTGTGATAGAAAAGAAATACACCACCTCGAATCTAACAGCCAATTGAAGATCAAAACTGAATTTCAACAACAAACCTCTCGGAAATGCGGGATGCGAGTGAGGAGCAACCGTGTCATTCCCTGCAAAACCACAGAGACAGCATGTAAAAATTGAAGCAAAAACAATTGAACGGTGCCTCAATAGCCAACGTAACATTTCTTTGACGCTTCTACGAAATTCGCTCAGGTGCAGGACGGTTCCATTTCTAACAAAGCCGTCGGCGCTTCCCGAGACACGATCGCTATCAAAGTGTTCGGTTCAACCTTAACTAGGGAGCTAACATTGGCGATTCCTAGAATCCATGTCTCAATCCGTAGACAATAGAAACCACCTCAACATCCTCCCCACTCCAATATAGAAACAAACAATTCACAGAAGAAAGGGCAAGAAATGTTGCTTACGTTCTCCCCACAGCGCATGCACAAGCTCTCAATCTGGTGCAAAGGAGCACCATCGTCTGCAGTTAAGGCCTCTGCTGCGTCTCCAACATCAGCGATCATATTGTTGTGGTGCTCGGTGGCGGGTGCCGCCATGATCTATCGCTTGCTGGCAGTGCAATTGTTGATTGTTGAACACGGAGAATAGACAGTGGCAACTTCAGCGGAAGCGGAACACAAAATGCCAACGCTCATGCTCTGGGGTTTAGGGCTTCGACTGTCTAAACCCTTGGTTGAGGTTCTGTAGGGGAGGGGGAGGGCCTTATTCCATGTCCCGACCTACATCCTGGACTCTCTCTCTCTCGTACCATGTCCCTACCCATGTCCCTACCCTGTTTTGGAACCATTTCTTTCCCTTTATCGTCTTACGGGTTATCTTTTTCATTCTCTTCCTACTGGAACTTGTAAAAGAACATAGTATGCTAATAAGAATGATGATGATAATAATAATAATAATAATAATAAATTTATTTTGATATTTTTATTCATTTAAATTTTGACATGTTTCAATTACCAATCTCAAGGTGGTGATTTAAATAGAAATAAATTATATATGTGTGTATGTGTATATATATAAATTAAGAGCAGTTCTTGAATATATTTAAATTTTTGGAAACAAAATATGATATTTTTATTTAATATATTTCAAATATAAATTTCTACATAGTGTAAAAAATACAAGCAATTGAAGCTTTGGTAATAATATAAAATACACATAATACAAACACACTCACATTCAAGTATGTATGTGTGTATGTATTGCATACTAAAATCTCTTACAAGTGTATATTTAATCTTTATAACCCAATATCCAACTTATGAAAATCACAATTTATGTATTTGTATCCATACTATCTTTCAAAATCAAATTTGAACTTAAACAGTGTGTAAATAAATATACATAAATATATTAGCAAAAAGCCATGTTGTTTGGCACCAAAATCTTTGGCTTGCCATCCGTTCATTCCTATGTTCATCCGTATTCCCTCGTTTTTATGTTCTCTTGTTCTTATGTTTGGCAAATAAGAAGACTTCTTTGCCTCTTTATCATACACCTAAACCGTTATACATACATACATACATACATACATACACACATTTTCAATGATTCCTTCCACTACTTTGTTTAATCAATGGTAATGTATCCCTTTTCATACTCACCAAGGACACATAACATGTTATCATGGACAATGAGATTGACTTGTTAAGAAAAAAGAAATACAGGAAAAGAAAAAAGGACCATTGCTGCAAATTTCACAGCATGTCTGATATATTCAGAGATTTAATAATTTATTTATTTAATTATTGTAAAAAGAAAAAGAAAGAAAACAAACAAACAAAAAAACAAACAAGATGAAGATATTAAGGAATGACGTGGAGCTTGGCTCTTGCTCATGAGAGAAAATCAATCACTTTGGGAAATTTCAACATTCCAGGAAGATAAAGATGGATGAACAAATATGGATGAACAGAGAACGGATGATACGAAACATTCATCTCAGATGGCAGCATCTGCTTCACGGGTTCGGAGTAGCTGTTGCTGCTGAGCACGATCGTAAGAGCTGTCGGATTGCAGCTCCGCTTCCCATGGCTTCCCATTCTCCTCTGCTGCTGCTGCTGTTGCCGACCAACCCCCGTGCTCCCACTCTCACCGCGTCTCATCGCTTTCTCGTCATGATAGAGGTCCGTTAAATTTTTTTTAGTCTAATTTTTAGTGGCTCCTCGACCTGTGGGGTTTGGTATTAGGGTCGTTGAGTTGATTCCACTCGAACCGGACGTGAGTGGGAATGGCTGGCATGCAACATTCATTAGCGCGGAATTGGTGGAGTTTCCTTTTTTAGCTTGCGTTCTCTTCGCGCAGGTTAAGAGGTGAGCACTGGACTTTAATTTTGAATTTGCGAGATTGCATTTTCTACATTGGCCTCAAAGTGAAATAAGATTTGACTGCACAGACCGTCCTGGAGTGTGACTTGCCACCTCCCCGACACTTCAAGCTGTCCCTAGAACAGTGGTGTTCGATTGAAAATCTGATACCGACGATTTGTTCTTGTGAACATACTCAGATGTGCGCAGTCTAAATATTATGAATAAAATGACAACATCAAATGACGAGCTAGAAAGAATGTACGCAAGCATTGTTCGTTTTTTATTTAGAGTTTTCTCTTGACGCGGTTTACACAGCGAGGTGTTCAGGGGCTTTTGGAATGTAGAGGAGAAACACGGGTGGGTTTGGGATATTGTTTCTGCACAGTAGCAGCTACCCTCTCCCAACGTGTCGTCGCACAACTCCCGGTCCGCACCCCCGAGGTCCTTCCTGAATCCTTCGTTTCCAATTGCTAAGTTATCGACCCCCAAGCCTAGTCGCGTTGAATACGGTGCTGCCGAAACACATTAAGTAGTGTGTGGTATAGTTTGGATGATTGCTCTAGCCGAGTTTTCGATTTCAGTATGCTAGGGTCACATGCACGTAATGTGGGGGTTCTAGCACTTGGCAGGGGCTTCTGCTAGATATTTGAATTCCGAAAATCAGTCCACTGTTTCGAATCAGTAGTCGTATCGCTGTCAGGAGATAATTTTATTCGTATTTAAACCCGAGAATGCGTCTTATGCGCGATCGCAAATGTACTCACGTATGCATTGCGAGTGTATCTAGATTTTACTGTTTTCCCCTTTATTTCATGAAATTTCATTTCGATGTTTAGGATGTCATACTTAGTCGTAGTTACATGGAGTAAGTCGGGAGAGTAGATGATGATGGGGCTGCCTCGCATTGCTACCGAATTTGTTCCTGATTTTTAACCAAGGTTTTTCTTTTTATTTCCCTCAGGTTTCTATTTTTGATGCGAATGCAAAATTGATCAATCTAGACGCAATCATATACCACGCGAAGAGGTTTTCTTGTGGAGGAAGGAATGGCTCCTTCCGTTCCGAGAATAGGGAGCATGGAGAAACAGGGTGAGAATTGGAAGTATGAAGAATCAGGCTCTGCCGGCGATCGTCTGGGATTGCCGATTCCACCGCTACAAGTCGATCTATCGGGTGCTTTTAAAAACTGCGTTTTTGTCTACCTTGCTTTGATTTTTAGCATGTATTTATCATGTTTTTCACATTGCCAATCTCTTCCAACATTTTATTGTTATTGTTTGAGCACGCTGAGAGGTATGCTTGGCCATTAAATATTCTTGATTACTAAATTTCACATCTTTTCATTTTGGTGATCAGAAGAGTAGTTCATGAAGTTATTTTTCAAATCAAAAAAATGTTGTGAAGAAGAAAATTAGTCGAATAACTACATTTCTCTCCAAAAAATAGCGATGCAGTTAGTTGTTCCTCAAATGCTGAATTTCTGATGGCGCAGATGATGACATCCGAGAAACAGCTTACGAGATCCTAGTAGCAGTGTATGGCAGTAACCCTATCAGCTTCAGGAGCATGAGCATGAAACTCGATCCTAAACCGAACGTTAGCAAGTCACTTACATCTTCTGCTGCTAGCCAAATGAAGCGGGCGTTTGGGTTGCAATCTTCTGGTGGTTCTAGCGAGATTCAGCGCTCTTCTTCTTTTAAGCCAAAGAAGAATCCAACTATATCGGATGTCTTGAGAGTGCAGATGCGTATCTCTGATCAAAGTGAAATGAGGATACGGAAGGCTTTGACCCGTGCAACTGCAGTGCAGGTATCGAATTGTTTGAAAATAAAATTGAATAAAACTGAAAAAAATTATCTTTTACCTTTTCGCTTCTTGGATCGAGCGTTTTCTCTAGGCTCTGAAGTCTACCCTTTTACGACAACATTTTCTGTAGCGAGTTTTGACAGCGTACTTTTGTACTAATTACCTTTCTCCAGGTAGTTTGGGCTGTTTGAATACATGAATCGCTCTGTTGATTTTTATTAAAATTCATATCGCTATTTCAGAGTAAGAGCGGTGAATATGTGCTGTGCGACCGTAATTGTGTATATAACTGCCAATCTCCTATCGTACCAATGTCTTAGTGCTAATGAAAGCTTTGGCGTGTCTTTCGGGTGCAGGCTAGTAAACGGAGTGGCTTGATAATTGTTCCTTTGGAACTTCTTCAAAATATTGGCTCATCAGCCTTTGACGATGAGAAAGAATACGTGAGTTGGTTAAAGCGCCAGTTAAGGATTTTAGAAGCTGGTCTTCTTACTCACCCTCTAGTTCCAGGAGATGGAGGTATGGACGCTCTACGGTTAAAGCAAGCTTTACGGGATATGGTCGATGGACACAAGACTGCAGAAAAGACCAAAAACAGCGAGATTATGCAAATGCTTCGTAGTGCAGCCCTAGGCAGGGCAACCCGAGCACACAATGGTGAATACGGAGATTTTCTGCATTGGGCTGATGGCTTTCCTTTGAATGCACATATATATGCTGCCCTACTTTCTGCATGTTTTCACACGGTGGAGGAAGGCGAAGTGATAGCAGAGATGGACGAAGTACTTGAGATGATAAAAAAGACGTGGGGTGTGTTGGGGATTGATCAGACATTGCATGACACTCTCTTTGCATGGGTTTTATTCCAGCAATTTGTTGCAAGTGGCCAAACTGCAGTGAAACTTCTCCAGCTTTCTGAAAGTCTGCTAGCTGAGGTTGCCAAAGATGTGAAAGGAAATCTGAAAGCTGATCAGGTGCCGCTACTAAAATCGGTATTCAGCGCAATGCAGTTTTGGGCAGAGAGAAGGCTTCTCGCATATCATGATTCATTTCCTGGAGGAGCCAGTAACATTATGGCGGGTTTATTGGCAGTGGCAGTTGGTTGTGCACAAATCTTGCAGGAACATGTGTCACGTGAGCCTCGGAGTCGTGGGAGAGAGGAAACAAACATTCCGCTAAGTCGCGTTGATGTTTATGTTCGCTCTTCTGTGAGGACAGCTTTTGCTCAGGTACAATTGATTTCTTACCTTCAGGTGAAATCCTGTACTCAGTTTTTAAAAAAACATTTAGTGGCTCTTATCGAATGATTGAAGACGGAATGGTACTTTTTCAATTGCTTCAAGTTGTTAGGTAAAGTGCTTTTAAAAAGAATTAAGTAGACACCAAGAAAGCTCAGTGCGAGTCAATGGTTTACGATGATAATGTTTTTTTCTCATCAATTGTATCTACGAACTGTTTATATTTTGCTGATTATGTTAGTTCATGATAAAAATGTACCCGACTTTTTCTTCACTTGAAAATCTACCAACCTAATTAGTACTTGAAGGCGTCAACTAAGTAAGTGTGAAGTTCTTGCCTTTTGCAGTTGATGGAGACAGTGGATGTCAGACGGAGATCATTCAAGGGCGCTGATGCACCACCGCCAGCCCTAGTAGTTTTAGCTCAAGATACAATGGTCTTTGCAATGAGTGAAGTAGATAATTTTAGTCCTGTGTTGAAGAGATGGCATCCTTTTGCGGGTGGAGTGGCAGCAGCTACCCTCCATAGTTGCTACAGCCGAGAGTTTAAGCAATATTTATCAAGCATGTCAGCGATGACTCTAGACACAGTAGCAATTTTAAAGGCTGCAGACGAGCTTGAGAAGCGGCTCGTCGGGATCGCTGTTGAAGATGCGGCTGAATGTGATGACGGAGGAAAGAGTCTCATTCGAGAAATGCCACCTTATGAAGCTGATCGAGCGATGGGAGACTTAACAAGAAGGTGGGTAGAGGACAATGTGGAGAAAATTACTCAGTGGATCGATCGAAACATCCAACAAGAGGTAATATTCTTGTGTGCCTTGCATGCGACCTGTAGAAACTACAAAAGTTTGACTTTTATTAAATATTAGATTACTAATCGTTTGAAACGGTGGCGTGTTAGAAATGGAGCCCAGGATCTAACAAGGATAACTATGCACCATCGGCCGTTGAAGTGTTGCGCATTGTGGAGGAATCACTCGATACTTTCTTCGCAATGCCTTCGGAGCAGTATCCTGATTTGCTTCAAGAGCTGGTAGCTGGATTGGACAAGGGGTTACAGCGCTATGTTACTCAAACAGTCAATTCTTGCGGTGCGTATTATTTGTGTCATTCCATTGAAGAACAGTGGTTGTAACATTTTGGTTTACCGCAGGATATGAAGCCTCTCGTGTAAAACGCGATTCTTAAATATTAGTGTACTTCAATACCTCCTCATTTTATAATACTTTTACTAAGTTAGTAGAAAGAACAGTTTTGCATGCAAGTGTTGCAAAGCGGTCGCTGCTGAGAATATGACTATTTTCTTATCTGTGATCTTACTTAAGATAGAGGCTCTAAGTTTGTATCTAGTTCTCTCACCTTCTACACTCATTTTATTGCTGACGAAGTTAGAATTTTTATGTCTTCAACATCAGCCTGGCAGCAGTTCTCATGTGGTGTTGTACAATTTTACAGGAACCAAAGACGTGCATATTCCTCCCATGCCTCCGCTTACACGATGCAAGGTTAATAAATCATGGCTCGGTTCCCACAAGAGCAAAGGAAAGTCAGGGGTTCAGCGTAATCCTCGAAAATCATCACTTTCCACTGGAGGTGATGCATATAGTCTGCCCTATAAATGTGTGCGTATCAACACACTTGAGCATATCAACACGCAACTTCAGTCTTTGGAGAAGAAAGTTCAAAATGGCTGGAAGAAGGATCAACCTACACCTACTAAAAGTGGACGTTTCTTTGGCAAGACAAAACCTGCAACTCCACCAGTAACAGAGACACCTATTGATAGCTCTCTTACTTTCCAAAAGACACGAAGTGCCATCAAGGAGGGTATAGGACAATTGATCGATTCGGCAGCTTACAGGGTCGTATATGCGGATCTTAGAGATATCTTCATAGAAGGGCTCTATGTTGGAGATGTATCAAGTTCAAGGATATCTATTGTCCTTGAACAGTTGTATGTCAAATTGGGAGAGATTGCGGAAACTAGTGCAGTATCAGTAAGGAACCGGATAGTAGGCGCTCTCATGAAGGCTTGTTTCGATTGTCTTCTTCGAGTGCTTTTGGCGGGTGGTCCATCACGAGCATTCAGAGAGGAGGATGCTGACTTGCTGAAAGATGACATGTATGCTTTGAAGGAGCTCTTTCTGGCTGATGGCGAAGGCTTGCCGCAGGCTGAAGTTGAACAGGTTGTTGCACTTCCAGCACAGGTTCTTACGTTGTTCGAAATATCCAGTAATGAATTGATCCAGATATACTTGGCATCCATGGGACAAGGAAGCAAGACGTCGTCCAAGACGTTCTCCATACCACCTACCACGGGAAAGTGGAGTGCAGCAGATGCCAATACTGTATTCAGGGTTCTTTGTCATCGATGTGATGACACGGCAACCAGATTTCTGAAAAAGACCCACCACTTGAAGAAGGCTGCACCATAATTCTTCTGCATCATAAAAATTACACTGGTATTGATAATGTACTTGCTATCAAGAACTTCGTTTCGGCTGGTATTGTCCGAGCTCAGTTCTCTTGAGTGATGTCAGACTTGAGGTGCAGGTGGAGTAAAGACTATGATCTGGAAAAGTGCTTCAATTACATTTCCCTCGAGGATACTAAGTTGTACAATTATGTGCAACCACAGTGGATCGGACTGGCCGTGGGAGACAGTCGGAATGCAGTCTTTGCTATCTCGAGCCAACGCCGTGCGTAACTTGTAATGCAAACTTGCCGATTAGAAATGCCAGACGCCCACGTGTGACCGTAGCTAGCATTCGCGTAATGGCATGCCAGTACCGTCTTTGTACAATTTGAGCTGGTGTGTAAAAGCTTGGAGCATTTAGATAAAACCATGGGGCTTGTTAGTATACAATACATTGGTATCCTGTTCCACGGTCAATATTCAACCTGGAGCAGTGTATGGTACAAGCTTCCGGTGAACTTGTGCCTAATTGCACAACAGAAGTAGAGGTTTGATTGCGTAATATTTTTGTAGGGACGAAAAAGAAATGTGCATAGCTTTTGAAAGGTTCTGGTAATGATTGTTTCTTGACATCTTAGAGTGCTACTGAATTCTTATCACCACCTGCTGATTTTCTTCTTCGGTTCATCTTCTCTTATCTCCTATACAAACTGAACTACTGAGTCTTATGGGTCTTACAACACTTTCACTAAATCAAACTGTTACTGACGCTTGGTAGTCAATCTTATTACGGTGGATTTTCTTTACCACTGTGATTTGTATTTTGAGCATATCTGTAACAGTGTTTACGAACTTCTCTGGGATTCCTGATTTTGTTATGTTGATCTCGTGGATTGCGGGGGTTGTTAGAAGTAGTTTAAGACAATTTTGGTAGTAGTTATTATGGTCTGAGATGAGGCTAAGGTTTAGGACGACTCATCATTGAGATAGGTAGTCTGCACCTCAATTACTTGGATGCAGGGGCATCAGAACTACTTAAAAGCATTTCGTAGCTTGGCTTCTGAAATGCATTTTGAACTCTAGTCGCGCGTCTTTTTGATGACTTTGGGATTTTGTAGGTTGATCAATGTATTGAACGATGATTCTGCCCCTAAGTTCTGATTGTGGCTGTTATTTCTCAGTACTTGGGTCCTGTGACTAAATATACTTATATATATTTCATTAGTCATATGATTTAGCTACATATTCTCATAAGATTTAAGAAATGGTAATTTGATTTTATAAAATACATTTTAAAGCATCTACAAACAATCTATATAATTCTCATATACAAGAAAAACTTGCTAGCAACCACCTTTGTAGATTATTCTTATAAAATTTTGTTGCTTATATAATAATTTTTTATTATAAAGTTTATTGATATAGAAAAGAATTATAACATGTAATATTTTTTGATAGTAGTGTCATTATCATAAATCTCTTCAAAATTTAATAAAATTTAATAAATATAAAATTGAATTTGTTAATCTCATTACAAGTACCATTAAAATTTCTCTCTTCTAAAGAATAAAAATAGCAATTAAATAAAGTAAAATCAAAAAATCTAAGTAGGTAAAAAGTAATAATTTTATTTAATATTTTTTAGAAGGATTTTTCAAAATTACCTATTTTTGTTGTTGAAAAAAAACTTAGATTTAAAAGCATATAAAATAATGGACTTATAATATTTTAGAGTTTTATATTATAGTTAGATTTCAAAACTCTATAATAAACTAATAGACTATAGGCACAACATTTTTCATAGTTAAATAAGAACAATACATATATTCTATAATTTTTATAAGATAAACTTAGGAAAAAATTAAAATTAAAATTTAATTGGCTAAAGTTGATATTAAAATTTTATTATTTATTTTTTAATCTTATATAGATTTAAATGATATTTTAAAAATAGATAAGATCTAATTTATTTTTTAAAATCTTGAGTACTATAATAGACTTTATTTTGTTCACTAAACACATAGAATATTTTTATCTACCAACAAATTAACTAAACAATATGTTAATATAAAATTATCTTTAATATATATATATATATATATATATATACATATTTATCTCTATACTTACATATCTTAACTTTAATATTAAACTAACTTATAGTAATAAAATAAAACTTTTAAAATAAATAATTTAAAAATTAAAATATTATTAATATTTTTAAAAATTAAATGCATGCTAATTTTTTCATATTAAGAAATATTTAACTTTTCATATATAAAATAAAATATTTTTAAAAAAATTAACATTACCAATCTTCAACAATTTTTTTTTTGTTACTTTTATTAAATAAATAGTTTAAAAAAGCATTATTTTGTTTAATTTTGTTTTAATTTTTTTTCTTAGATATATTTAAAAAAAATCTTGAACGTATCAAATATATTCAAATCAAGATATTATTAAAATTAATTACTTATTAAAGTAATTTTTATAAAACATTGTTTAAAAAATATCTAAGATTTATTTCTATCTTTCTATCTATCTATATAATCTTTCTATAACTAAAAATCAATGTTCTAGTAACTCAAAAATATCTATTGTATGAAAGTTCTTTCCTTCATTGATTTTGTTTAATAGCAATAATTTAATATTTTTTTTAGCTAATATTTAATACACTTTTAAAAATTTATTGAACTATATAGCAAATTATCTAATGATTCATCGATACTAAAAATGTGGCTTCTATTGGAGATGTACCTTCAAAGCCAAATGTTGCAACAAATTAATTGGTTGTGTTGGTGCATATTTATAATAATATAAGCTCAAAAAGACTTCTAAACTTCCACAAAAATATTTTGATTGTGCCATAAGGACTTTACTTATATAGTATCAATCTATCTATACAACCATATAACAACAAGCATATTCATAGTGTATCAAGATTTGGAATTGCTCACATTCATTATATAAAATATTATTTTTGCACAAAACTTCTTGCTTCTATTTGTTCTCTCATCAAAATCACATGTGCCACTAAATCCTATAATATCCATTCTATTAATCCAAAGTAGCTTCGTTAGCTCTAAATCATTTGCCACAATATCTACTATATAATGCATAAAGAATATCTATGTAATCAAATATTCAATACTGTCTATAAGGAATAAAAGACACATAACTTATACTAGAGGCCTTTCAATACCAAATATGCTTCGAACTGCTTATGTTTTATAATATCAATAAATTTGATTGTAATATAGAAGGTTTTTTTTTTTTTTTTTTTTTTTTTTTTTGGCTCTTCTTTTCTTGCATCACTTACTACAATTTTATCATGATTTTTTTTTTTTTTTTTATGTCCTATCAAAGCTTTTGTTGGAATGTTAAAAAGAGCTTTTATTGATATTAGGTAGTAGCCATATAGTTGTTGGATGCAATTTAAAATATTTTTATTGATGATATCTTTATCTTTGTTATATTAATATTCTTTAAAGAAACTAATGAATAACTCTGAATATTAAAAATAAAATTTAATTTTTAATATAGATTTACAAATTAAAATAACTTTCATCTAATATATTTATGTTAATTAATCAATATTATAAATATTTATTTTTTCTTGCTTGGTTTTTTTTTTTAATTATATTTTATAAATAAAACCACTAACAATGTTGCTTGAATGGGACTATTATATTAGCATCCATTGATAGAACTTTCAATATTATATTAGCAAAGTGATGTTAATTTAATATGATAGAAGTATAAATCAATATTTCTATAATATAGTATATTATAAAAGAAGAGTAGAATGTAGGAGTATGTAACTTATTATCAAGGACAAAAATTAAAAGAAGATAAATAAATAAATAGAATATATATATTAAAAAAATATAATAAAATAATATATATTAAAAAAACTAGAATAGCTATTTTTAAAGATTAGAAATTTAGACTCTTAAAATTAGACTAAAAACAAGAAAAGAATTGAAAAGAATAAAAAAAAGCTTCAATTTTGCATCTATATATACTATCTAAGTCACAGCTATATGACAATGTTCTATAAGACCTCTTATACCTATCTAATTTGCAAAATATGTATCTTAGCTTGCAATATAAGTTTTCTATATAAATACCACATAATTAGCTTATACCACAAGCTACCAATACATGAGACACATGACTAGTTTGTTGGCCAAGTGTTCAATCTATCAATCACCTATAGACAAATGTAAAGGTGAAATTGAGTCTATGAAGGTTTTATAATACATCTCTATAAAATATTATTAAATTAATCTATTTTTATCTATTTCTATTTATTTCTATTATTTAAATGATTATTAGAATAAATATGTATTTTTATGACATTATTCGTCATCCTAAGAACAAGTTCCATAAGGAATAGTGATTACATGTTAATGAAGTCTAAGATGTAAAAAATTATATTTGCCACATATTTTGATCTTTGTTTCATTTAAAGGTGGTTGATTGGTTCTTTCAACCATTGATAATGTCTTATTTTAGTATGAAAAGACCACCCTATTATTTGATCATTGTTGAAATGTTTATAACTTCTTTCAAACAAAATATTTGTAATACCATCAAGAGTCATTTTTACTTCTAATAAAATCATCAAACATCAGGAGTTTCTTCTAAGGTTGTGATATCAAATGCATTATAGCTTGCCATCTATTCAAAGAAGAACATATCATTCTTGAAGATCTTTGTTTCTATTACGTTGTCTTTAAGACTATAACAATTGCAATATTTCATCAAGTGGATCAACAAATGATAATTCTTGAGTTGAATCTAATGGCTGCTTATTTTTTTTTATCTTGCTAGTGCTACTAATATAAAAAAATCACAATAAAGGATAAAAGATACAATACAATCTTTATTGAATAAATTCTTCTTTTAAAACAAAGACTTGTTTGATATTTTATCTTGATTTTGATGGATGATATAAATGAAAGGCTTTGACATTATTTGCTATATTTGTAAGATTCTTTGTTGACTCCCATATGTGTTCATTAATATTGTATCTATGTCAATAAACAAGATATTCCAACCTAAATTGATATCTCCTCAAGTCTAAGACTTCTTCTATCTCAAAGTCTTGATTATTATCTACTTCTATTGAACATGGTGTCATTTGTCTTCTTTCCAATTTCCAATCATTCAATATTTATTTAAATGTCTCAAGAAGAGATTTTTGAAATATAAGATGGATCATCATATTCTTCAGTAAATGTAATTGATAATCAACTAAATTGATTATTTACATATAGGAAATGGTTCAAATCTATGATAAAATAACTTGTCACAAGGACAAATAGTCTTGATATTACAATAAAGTAATCATATCTTATCACCAACATAGAATTGACAAAAAATAATATCAATTCTATGTTAGAAATAAGGTATGATTGTTAGAATATGAAAAATTAAAGATAGTTTTATATCTTAATTTAAAATTTTAAATAGATTTTTTTAAAACTTGATACAAATCAAGTCCTTCTATTTGATATGATCTTAGTGGACAATCCATAATAACAATAGATGTTGTTAAAAAAAAAAATTAGTTATTATTTCACTTATGATAGATTTTATACATGATACAAATGTGCTATCTTAGTAAAATGATCTATTGTTACAAATATAAAGCCATAAGAACTTAAGACTAGAAGATGTATGATAAAATCCATAGAAACAAATAACTATAATTATTAAAGAATAGATAATGGTTAAAAAAATCCATAAGGTCAATGATATGGAGCTTTCGATTTTAAATAAATATTGAATGATTATTCAAAGACTTTAATTGTCTTTTAAATTT